ACTGGTGTGCTTTCGAACTGTTAGGTTGGCAAGAATCACCCTGTTGCGGGGATTCGAACTGCTGAGCTTCTGATCGGCAAGCCCAAGAGGCTCAGTGGTTTAGACCACAGCACTACCTGCATCCCTGGAGGGTTACTTGCTGGCATGTTTCATGCAAACCAAGCTCTTTGCTTTCCAGCTAAGGTCCCCAATCTAATCTCACATCATTGCTGCTTGAACAAGTGTAATGTCACTGAATCATTTTATTTCTGATTTTATATTTTGCCAGAGGAGAGCTCCTTACTTGGTTGTCAGTCCTGTTCTCTTCCAGAGGTTCAAGCCAAACACTGAGTTGGCATGGAGAACACCACCCCAGCCATCCATTCCATAAGTTATCACAAAAATGTCAGTTTCTCTCCTGAGTATTTTGAAGGAGCTTTTGCTTGATGGCTGGGCCTTTAACATGCAACATGGCCTTGTTTATCTGATAGGGTTGTGGCTACATACGCATTACAAAAAAGATGATACTTCCCATATGCTAATTTATATGTACATGTGCATATATGTGTGTGTATGTCTATATATAAACACACACACACACACACACACACACACACACACACACAGTACTTTTTTTCTTTAAAAAATGTTTAGGGGTACTCTGTCTGGGTGCTAACTTCAGATGGGCAGTTTCACAGCTTTCTGTACTTATGGTTCTTTCTTTAAACTGGATGCAGATTGGGCAACCCTTCAATGTGTACCAAATATTTAACTAGCATCCAGCATTGTAGTGGTTAAAAATAAGAGCTCTTCTTTTGCTTAAATTATCACACTGACCCCATTCCAAGGGGTCTCTTTGTCTTTGCACCATGTCTCGCTGTTTCAGACAAAAGCGAGCCCGTCCTTCTGTCCCCCTCCCTTGTCCTCCTTTTCTGGACTGTGCAAAACTAGCACAATGGAAGCTGTTCATGGAGAACATGGAAGGAGTTGGATTTCACTGAACTTTGTTGCGTTGTCATGTGCTAAGGTGCTGATCCTGGCTCTTTTATAAAGCCACCCTTTTAAAACACAAACAGCTCCTGGGGTCAAAAGGACTAAAATTGATTGCTGTGCTAAATAAAGTTTTAAATAAGTATATATATTTTTTAAAGGAAAGAAAGCAAAGTATCTGCCCTGCAGTGATCTCACTCAGAAAACAAAGTTTGCAGTAGCTAGTTAAATCTCCTCAGGAAGAATGCAGCCAAAGTTTGTGAGTTGAGATTAACATCAACAGGCTTCTAAAATATCTTCCTCTGGTCAACAGCAGCAGTTGCACCAAAGGAAAAAAAAGGGGGGTGGGATCCAAGATACAGTGGTACCTCAGGTTACAGTCACTTCAGGTTACAGACTCTGCTAACGCAGAAATAGTACCTCAGGTTAAGAACTTTGCTTCAGGATGAGAACAAAAATTGTGCGGTGGCGGCAGTGGGAGGCCCCATTAGCTAAAGTGGTACCTCAGGTTAAGAACAGTTTCAGGTTAAGAACGGACCTCCAGAACGAATTAAGTTCTTAACCCGAGGTACCACTGTACCAGCAGCAGAAGCTGAGCTCCAAACTACAAACATACTGTGTTAAAAGCACCATCACATTTAAAATGTCTGTGTTGCTGTTTCATAGCACAGGAGGAATTTTCTCTCTCTTTCCTACCTCTACCTCCCATCCTGCCCAATCCTGTCAAGAATTGACTTCCCGAAGCTGTGGCTTGCCTTAGGAGGGAAGCAGCTATTGGCAAAGCTGAGCTGGAACAACCCAGATGGAGCTGAGCTTTCTGATCTCTCGATTGCTCGGGAGTTTAGGCCCACCTTTTTTCTAGCCTGGCTGGGGTGATGGGAGTTGTAGTCCAAAACATCTGGACAACCCCAGGTTGGGAAAGGCTGGTTTAGAGCAGGGGTAGCCAGGTCAGTGCATTCCAGAGGAATGGAGCATGCTGGGGGTTGGATTACAGCAATGTGTGAGGGCTACCCTGGTTGGGGGGGGGCAGGGCAAAGGTCAATAACAGCTGAGGGGCTAAAACTGTCTTGGCTAAAAGATATGCACAGGCTGCTGGGCTATTTATTTAATCCTGAATTGCAAGGAGTGCTAAATGGGACATTAGAGAGAAACAGATTATTTCACTTGCAAAAGGAAAGCGTAATCAAAAGTGGCTAGAAATTCAAGTGTGCCTTAATCTCTTTGTAAATGTGAAACACTTCTGTATTACTCTAGGTATGCACACCTGCCAGAAAGAGTTGTGCCAGGAAAGTGTGTGTAGGAGTACAGATAATACCCTCCAACATTTGAAAATATGAAAACAGGGATACCCTAAAGAAAAGGGGGACCTTCTGGGATGAAATCAGAAACCAGGACAGCTTCTGTAAATCTGGGGCTTTTCCCTGGAAGGTAAGGACACTTGGATGGCCTGTGCCTTATTTACCGTACTTGGAACAGGTCCTGTTTTTCTGGTCTCCTGGTAAATCAGAGTGCTGGAACAACAATTAGAAATTAGAAATTATGGTTATACTTGGAACAGCAACAATAAAAAAGAGTACTAGAGGCAGAAGACATGTAAACTGGAGTGTGTGAATGCTTTCTCATCTCAAAACAGAAGCAAATGACTTGTGCCTCTGAAAGCTGAAAATTAAGAGGGTGACTCACACAGACCTTTAGCCTTTTCTTGTCTGGCAGAAGAGCAAGGATGGGTTGTTCTGTGTGCAATTAATTAGTTGCAGGGCTCTTTGTGACTGCTGAGTCTCTTGGATACGTAAGTTAATTTACTGTATCTGTTAGTAACAGCCAGCCTCAGTCTTTAGGAAGAAATGTGGAGAATTCTCACAAAGACAGATTCTGGAATAATATTTTTGACTCCTCCTTCATTTGTAATGAAGCATAGTCTGGCACTGTATCTAATGTCAAATAATTTTGGATTTGTGACTCATCTGTGTGTAGAAGAAAAAGACATACGCTTTAGAGGGAGAGAGAGAAATATGAAAGAGCAATACTGAACGCTCAAGAAACTATCCCCAGTTACCCCACCCAGTCCTATTTTAGTGTTGACGACAGTAAACCGCTGCCATCTTGTGGAAAGAATCAGAATCTCTTTCTAGAATTCTGATATCTGAGTCCCTTTTAACTACGGATGCCATAGATTTCATCTGAGGCATCATACGGATGCTATACGGATAGATGCTAAGTGTGTGCTTTACCACTGTACAGTGAAATCTCATGTAACACTAGTAGTCTTCGGTGTTTTAAGACCCGGGACCCACTTTTAACCCGAAAATGCATTTGAGGATCCCATTAAAAAAAAAAGGGTTCGGGAGCGGGTGGCACTGTGGTCTAAGCCACTGAGCCTCTTGGGCTTGCTGATAAGAAGGTTGGCGGTTCAAATCCCCGCAACGGGGTGACCTTCCGTTACTCTGTCCCAGCTCCTGTCAATCTAGCAGTTTGAAAGCACACCACTGCAAGTAGATAAATAGGTACCACTGTGGCAGGAAGGTAAACGGCGTTACCATGTGCTCTGGCTTCCGTCACGGTGTCCTGTTGCACCAGAAGCGGTTTTGTCATGCTGGCCACATGACCCAGAAAGCTCTCTGTGGACAAACACCCACTTCCTTGGACTGAAAAGTGAGATGAGCACTGCAACCCCACGGTCGCCTTTGACTGGACTTAACTGTCCAGGGGTCCTTTACCTTTACCTAAAAAAAAATAATGCTTATATACTGTATTTGTATGGTGATGGTGCTACTTTTGTGACCCACTTTAGATCACTCTGCGACCTGGTAGTAGATGCCAACTTACCACATGAAGACCACTTTCCTACATACAATCGTACCTTGGAAGTTGAACGGAATCCGTTCCGGAAGTCCGTTTGACTTCCAGAACATTCGGAAACCAAAGTGTGGCCTCTGGTTGCCTGCAGGAAGCTCCTGCAGCCAATCAGAACCCATGGAAGCCCTGTTGGATGTTCGGCTTCCAAAAATAGTCGCAAACCGGAACAGTCACTTCTGGGTTTGCGGTGTTCAGGAGCCAAAACGTTCAAGAACTAAGCTGTTTGAAAACCAAGGTATGACTGTACCAGTGTTTCCCAAAGTGGGCGATACTGCCCCCTGGGGGGCTCTGGAATGATGCAGGGGGGTGGTAGTGGCCTCAGGTGCAACTGCAGGGCATTGAATAAAAATAAGGTGATGGAAGCATAAAGAAAGAAGAAAAAATTGAAAAACTGTTTGTGCATGTTTCATCTGTTGTGTAATAACGCTTACTGCCAGGTCAGGGACTGTTGTGGGAGGGTGACAATGCCTCTCCTGGATCTGGCGGTCATGCTGGAAGCAAGGGGTTTTCCCAGGCCTGGGAAGTGGATCACAGCTTGTCGGTCTATTTGGTCAATGGCAGGCAAACTGCAGCACTGGCCCTGCCCCTTTGCTTAAAGTAGGTAGATTTCCAGGGGGCGCTGAGGAGTTGTTGTTTTCTGAAAAGGGGGCGGTAGGCTAAATAAGTCTGGGGATCTCTGCTATATGCTGTGAGCTAAATCATAGATCAGTTTTACCATTAATTAAAACATCCCACTTTTTTTTGAAACCATTTAGCTTCTGTTCGTGGCTTAGGAGGTTTCCCATCATTCTGCCACTAGAACATCTGGCTGCTGACTCCGCTGCTAAATTCCTGAAAATAAAGCTGAATGGGGCTCAGGACTGCATGGGAGACTATTACCTAAATCTTAATGGTGGAGAAGATTCACTCTGCCCATGCTCAAATGCACATCTTTATATGTTCTTTTTATGTTGCAGGACCAACTTTATTATCACTGCATATGTTGAAAACAAGTCCTGAGGCTGATCCCTGATGATCCCTGGCACAACTCCTGAAACTTGTTATTTTCTCACACTCTGCTCACTTTCCTGTGAAAATATAGCACATGGCAGGAAGCAGGTGTGTTGCTTTATTACTGTCTCTGTATTGTTTCAAAATAGATTTCAAACAGGCTGTGGATAACACATCCATTAATGTAAAGTGAAGTTTTAAAAAATGCTGCTGTTTTATTTTTATTTTTTTATACAAACTAAAACACCAGAGGTCATTGAATCCTATATTAAATACATAAATTAAAAAATAACCATTCATAAAACTTTACATACAATAAGGATTCTCATCTACACGTTAATACGTACAGTACATATACATGGCCGCAGTGTTTATCAAAGGGTCATTCTGCCAAATAATTTACAATTCTCTTCTGGAATTATAGACACAAAAATGGGATCAATTTATATACAGGGAGATGCAGTGGAGAGAAAGTGGAACTTTTGTCCAACGCAGGAGCAATTTGCTGAATCTAAATGCAGTGGGATTAAAAAGGGGTTGGCTAGCTTAGTCCAAACGGGATAGAGCAGAGAGAAACACTTTGGAGATTCACAGTGTCTTCATACTGCCCTCAAATCGAGAAACTGGGAAGTTTGCTGTAGTTACAAGTAAACTATATAATGTGCCCTTTTGATATGTCAAAAGAGAAGGCTTGCCACTGTGATCCATGTGAGTAGTAATACTGCTGAATTGCGTGACGTGGGACTATCTTTTGCCCAGAGTTTGCCATTCAAAGCATTTCCCCCTTATGTGCACTTCAAAGGTCAGTTTGAGGGGTCTTTCTCCATGCTCCTTGTCAATTGAGGGGCCACATGGCAAAAAAGAGCCCGAAAAGAGTCACACGCTGACGTTAAAAAGAAAACACTTGAATTGTCAATGAGATGCCAAACTGAAACAAGAGGAACTGCTCAAACTGGGCGGTGCCATGGACTCCATTTCAGGAAAAGGCTCAGTGGACACTGATTTGCCCCACCCACTTTGAATGCTCCATAACTTCTTTTGGAATTTGGAAGTCCTGATTCCACTTTTCTGAAGTACCAGATTCTGGTGAGTCCAGGCCACCTCTGGCTTTGATGATGCACTAGGTCTATCTGTACATGCACAGAGAGGCCTGCTTAGCTGGGAATGGTGCAACGGCTGCAGTTTCACTGCAGGGTGGAACTGCAGATTTGCCACCAAATTCCCCAGGAGCTGAAAGTCATGCCATTCATTCACACTAGTCACATCACCTTTGAACCACCCTTGGCCCCACATCCTCATTCTTAGAATTGGAAGTACACTTTTTTTATAAGATCTAAGAGCATCCTACTATATACACTGGAGATAGATATATGTACAGTAACATATGCATGTATTTGCTTCTACGTACATATTTCAAAAGGTGAACTCATTTTGATCAGCAGAGGGTTTGCAAAGTCAGTGTCAAGAATATTAGGCACAGATTGTGTTGCACTGAAGAGAGAGAAAAGCGCCTTCAAAGTCTACAGAGCAAATCTGACAGACCACTCTGTACTATATGAGTCACAGAATTGTCACCAAGGGGCTGGTGGTTGTCCACCCTCCTTCAGAGCCTTAATGAAAGGATTGGCTGTATGTATTAGAGAAAGTGAGATGAACATGCATACACAAGGAACATATTGCAGTACCAAAGACAGAACTGAAAACATGTAAATTTCTTCAGCATGCTAAGAATGCTGTGGAACATCACCTTAAGCAGTTCCATCTTCCCATGGAAGGACTGGAAAAACCATGGAAATCCATGAAAATTTAGCCATTCATTTAAGTAGAAATCAAACTATGTCTCGTAACAAGAACAGTGTGACAGAAGACAAAACGCCATAGACTGACAAGGCAACCTTCTTGTCTATAGCTGAAGACCCATGGGTCTTTACAGGAACCAATACTGGAGATCCCAAATGGTAAAAATGCATAAAACTGAATGACATAGGCATGTAAATTACACATTATATGAATGATATTTGCAGTAGATCAGAACAGAGAACATGGTAGGCATATACAAGATTAAAACATAAGGTCACATCAGACAGTTGTTATCCAACGAAGGTACAAGTTGTTCATATTTGGACTGTTTTTTTATTGATGTATTCAGAGGAATAATTGGCACCACCTGTGGTAACTGGCATGTGGGCACACAAGGCAAATTTCCACATGTTAAAAGCACTCTAAAGTGCGAAACTGGGTATTCAGGAAGCAGTCCTATAATGGTGTACATTTCAAACAAAACAAAAATGGATATAGGAAAAATGGCAGCACTGGCCCAAAGACCCCGTGGTACAATGAAAATCATATTGCAGCATTCTGGGCTGCTATTGCAGGATTCTAAAGGGTCTTAATTCCAAGCCACATGTTTGGGAAATGTTATAAATTGTGTGGCATAGTACCAGTGTTATTTGCCCCTACATATGACTGCCATAATTATTTGCATATTTTAGAATTCGGGGATGTAGTGTTAAAGGGCAATGCATGTTTTACATTGCAAATATTGCATCAGTGCTAACGAGAGAAAATATAAGACGGTCACAGGACCTGTGTGTGTGTGTGTGTGTGTGTGTGTGTGTGTGTGTATGCCTGTATTTTTAGCAATGGAAATCTGGCTTGATGGGATGAACAACACTCTCTCCCTGAAAGAATGGGAAATATTTTGTATACTGAAGGTGGATTCCACAGTAATTACAGGGCCTCAGACAATTTGAAGATAAGGTAAGAATTACCATAAAATCTCATAAACTGTATTTCATCTGACACCAGTTATTTCCACTGGGAGAATAAAGATAATTGTGTGGGTATTCCATTTGCCTGCATGGCTCTTTTTCACTCCTGGCCCCAATTCATGAAAACAAAAATTCCATCAACCAGCCATGTTCTCTTACCATCAGTGATATGCATACTTTTTGCTAGATTCCAGAAAATTGAAAATTGCAGAAAATTGAAAATTGTAGATCCCATTCTGGGCAGTGTTATTGTTAATTTAAAGAGTGCTGATAAAGGGATATATTTCTCAGGTAAATATTTATACACTCACCAGGGATATGGTAGTAAACCTGCAATGCCTAGAATTCTGAGATGCCAAATGAAATGTACACAAAAATGGAGACGATAAATAATAAGAGCACACGAAACATAAAATGGAGGTTGGTTTTCGTTTTGCTGGGAGAATGCAAGTGGCACCTGAGAACTGTATTCACTCAACAGGTTAGCACAAGCACCTTTCAGCAAGTCCTAACTTTAAAAGCTGTTGAGCTTTTTGTGGGGCAAAGTTGTTGAGCTTTATTGGGGGAGGGGCAAAGTTGTTGAGCTTTATTGGGGGAGGGGCAAAGTTGTTGAGCTGTTTTTGAGGCTATGCTTCTCCATTGAGGGTTGTGCCTGGGGAATAAATGAAAGCAACCGTAATTTCTGAGCACAATTTTCAGATTGCTGTGCAGTATCTCTTGTAGATATTTTTTAATGTTTTTTGCTTGTGCAGTTTTATGCAAATGTGAAGGATCAAACAATAGATAATAGATAGATGATAGATTGATTGCTATGGCTTCCTCTTCCATTCAGGGGCATGCCAGAAATAGCGGAGCACAGCAGAAAAAGAAATGAATGTTTTGAAGAAGCATGGAAATGAGAGTAGTAGATAGTGATGAATGATCCACTCAAAGAAACTGGAACAAAATAAGTGGAGTGTTTTGGAGCCTGATTCCCCACAATTTATTGGATTATCCCCATTTTGGGTAAACTGGGAATTTTCTGGGGGAAAGCGTTGAGATTAGTGTTGAGATTCGTCATATGGACTACGTAATTTAAACAGGCATGGCAAAAGCTGCAAACACACAGTGTGGACATGCCCTGCAACACATACTGCATCTTGTAAGGTTCCATGTAAATTGCAGCACAAGTAAGCTGATTTAGCCTTCTGGTATTCCAAAGAGCAAAGGAAATGGCTTCAAAGAAAATCACAGCCCTGTTCTGCAGGGAAGCTTTACTGTGCCTTCTCATAACCTTAACCTGACTTGACAGAATCAATCCACACTGTGGTAAGACAAAGCAAGCTCTTTTTCAGTATTTAGGTCAGGTGCAGAAGACAATGCTGGCTACTCAGCATCTTGTATGGGAGATACAACTCTTTGTGGTGCAGCAAACCTCTGCACAAGAATTTTGGGACCAAATTCAGGTTTAACGTTGGGAAGTAAACTCTATCCTGGCTTCTCACAAGATGCTAAGAGACAAATGAGTGTGACGCATAGAAAAGTAATGATAGCAAGCAGATAGAAAACCACAGTGTTTTGTTTCCAAACTGAGATGTTACAAACTTTGCTCAGCAAAGTACCTTAACCATTCAGTACCGATCTGCACTCATCATATTGCAAAAGGGACATAATATAATGGACAAGACACAGAAAATGGATAGAGCTTCTATCACTTTAAGTGACAGAACACAGCAAGCTGTTCCTTACTGACAGGATCAATTATGGTAGGCAAGCTTCTCTGAAGGACCAATTTCTTACCGCTACTGATTGTGCTGAGTGCTATTCCTTTGTGGTGGAGGAAAGTGACACCTATGGAACCTTTGTCTCATTTTATGCTCTGTGGTGATCTAAGATTAATTCTACTGATGTAGAATAGAACATCCTTATTTTCTGAGGAATATTGGAGGGTATGAAAGTATTGCTAGTAATCAGCCATGGGCTTGGAGCATTGAATGCTGGAAGATGTAGTGTGAGAGGACAAGGGACAGAGCTAGAGGAGGAGTGACTCTGAACCTAGGTTGTAATCAGAACTGTACAGAATCTCTTATGTAAGTTTTACTTTAGCAATAAAGCCTGTTAGAATGTAACCTTCAATGCACCTGTTACAAGGGATCATGGACACATCTGAGAAACAGAGCTTGTGAGCCTTTGGCTGGGAGAAAACGCACACATAAACTTTGCTTTGCCATGGGGTCTGAATAAAAGTCGAATCCAGTGGAATTAAAATGGATCCTGTTGAATTTGCATGTTTTTATACCCTCCAGTCCCCTAAACCATCATCAAGTTAAAGCCAACCTTGGTAGACTGCACAATAAAGAAGACAGATCCAGGGCTTGCCAATATGATAAAAAACATGGATCCAAGGCATGAATCCTCATTATTTGTAATAATAACAAAACCACCAAGAAGTCACAAAACACACCTAAGGTCACAGAGGTGACCTATGACATGACTGGTGGTTTGGATGGGATCCATGCCTCACATCCATACTTTGCACCATGGCAGTAACTGAAAGTGCAAGATCTGTGGTTCTTAATACTTCCTCTTTCATTTCTATGTGCTTTTCCAGGTAGGTGGGAGGTCACCACCTCATAAGGAGGATCTTAAAACCTTCATGGGCACCAGGGGCAGTTGCATGGGTAACCCTAGCCACATAGCTTCATGCTTTCAAGGTGTTGCTGCAGCAAACTCAACTGATATAAGACTAACATTGCGGTGTGGATCTACTGTAGGTAAGAATGTTGTTCATCCCTTCATTACTGATTTCTTGATTGTATGAATGTTTGGTACTGTGCCTTTACAAGGCACTAACAGGAGGACAGTTCTGAGCAGGTAGGGGTGATAAATGTGCATGAATGTTAGACATGATGGCATGGCAATGAACCAATGGGTGCTCTTGCAGCATTCCAGCATTTAAAAAATCAGAGACTTTGCTTTATGTCTGTATGAAGCCCCCATTTTGAATGCTAAGCAATGCATAGCATAATCTTATGTTGGCCACTGTTATTAGGAGCAAACAACCACAAGCAAATTCTATGCTTGCCGTATTCATATTTCTAAATGTATTTAAATTCTGCAGGTGCACAGGTGGAAGATAAGTCCTTGCTTTTTCTCCCATCTCTGTAAGGGAGAAGAGGCATAAGGTGGTAAAATGGAAGAGAAGGTCAGTGCAGGCTTCTGGGAACAGAGCTGAGGTTCTCCGCACGCTATATAACAAACCAGGCTCTACTGCTGCCTTCAGCACAGGGATGACATCCGCCCTCAATGCACGTTGCCAGTCATCAGAACTTCTCCAAACACAAACCAAGGATTCTAAGCAGGAATTTCCACAAGCAGGTGCTACATCCAACAAGAAACCTTACAAAATCAAGTGAGAGTTATTTGTCACCTTGAAGATAAATGCTGCATTAAAAGGCAGGCCTTAATGATGAACGCAAGCCTAATCTCAACAGCAAGATATGTACTGGTCATGTATGGGTGAGATAATAAAGGGTACATCCTAGGTTTCATCGTTTTGGTTCATGCGGCCAACTAGGAAAACACAACATGACAGGGGAAAACAAATTGTTTAGGAGGATTTCACTTGTACAAGTGAGTGGAGGCAGAAACTCTTCGGAAGCTGAGGTTAGATTAAGAGGCATTTGCTTCCTCTCTGACACAGCTATTTCTTTGTCGGAGGACCTTTCCGCCCCATTCCAGTGGCCGAAGATACATTAAACGGTTAGTGAAATGAGTGTTGCGTCCTTGTCAAGTTCTTCACTTGATGTAACAGCCATCCTCCCTTTGCAGAAGGACCCTGGCGACAAATAAGTCTACAGCATTGTTAGGAATTCTCAAGAGCACTGTCAGGCATTCTCACTAGATGGATCACCCATGCTATACTGCAAGCAGCAGTAGATTAACATTCCAACCACGTCTATCCCATTGTCAGTTTCAACCCATTATGAAACAAAAACAGAGTATGTTTCCCCCCTTTTGTTCACATTGCAGCTGTCATTGTTCCTGAGTTTAAAATCAGAGAGAGAGAGAGAGAGAAAGCGTCCCTGTATTAAGAAAGCCAGACTTTCCACATCAACTGTTTTATTGTCACTGTCCCCTTAAGAGTCCTGGATACGTTTCTTCCGCTCTGTCCCCTTTATTATCGATGACTTTCATGGGAAGTTGGTGTCCGTGTTTAAAATAACCCCCCTGCACAGCAGGGATAGATTGTTCATAGTAACTTTGGTTCCTTGCCTGGCATACCTTTACTCAATCGACTGAATGTGGTTTGCTTGCTGATTCTTCACCATAAAAAATAAAATAAAAATCCTAGTGATATATGCTGATGGCATGTTTGTCTCCCTCCTTATAGAATGTTATTAAGTGCAGCATATCTTGTAGCTTTAGACAGGGAACTGTCAAGTAACAAATCTTGAAGTAATGGCTTAAAACTACATGGTGGGTGTGGTCTCTCAGTGACAGAGTGTTGCTTTGTTTTGCAATGGTTGTAAACAGTGTTCTCTTCTTCGTGTGTTTGGAAGCATCTGCCCTTTGAGGACTTTTCTGTATAGTCAATCGCTCTAGAAAGCAAGAGAAAAGCATGTCTGGTAAAAGGGGACCATTCAAATGACCTCCCTAATTAAAGAGTAGTACCCGCTTCCAGTCTCTCTGCTCTCCCCTCTCCTTCCATCTCCTCCCTCTTCTAAGCATCTCTGGACCATTTACATGGCTCTAATGCCCAGCTAGGCCCTCTCTTGCCCAGCTGGCAGCAATCATGGCTACACCTGATCGTGGTGCTGGCTGGTAAGCAAACAACACCCACGAGTGATGTCATCACAGTGGGCAATGACACTTGTGACCTTCCTGGCTCGTCTCCCACACCAGTTTGGAGAGAGTGGGGCATAGTGGCGATTGCTGGCAGCTTGCTACAACCTATACAAATCAAAGTAAAATGTTAACTGTTAATAAGGAGACTTGAAAAGCAACCAGATATGTGTCTTCCTTTATATTTATTTAGAAGACACCAATCTTTAAATTTAAAATTTGGGGGTATTTTTTCTACTTCGATAGTGTCTTCAAAGACAGTTCAGTCTAGGTGAGTAGCTATTAGTTTATTATACTCTAAAGACATAAAGAGAAGTCAAACCATGAAATCTTTTGTTGTTGTTGTTGTTCTGCATCTTAAGCTAGTCACTCCAAATGATGACTTACGGTTCACACTCTATATTACCAAAAGCTTGTGCTATGGAAAATAATGAGGGAAGGATTGCTGGACAGAGGACAAAGGTTAGAAGCAACCAATAATATATTCTGGACAAAGGCAACATTCCACATTTCCTTAGGGTCACCACACATTACAGCAACCATCTAATGTAAAGTCTGAGTGCAATAAATGTGTTTACAAACACATACAACAGAAAGGTCCACTCAGGGAGCTGAGATTGGCTACAACTTCCTGTGGAAAACTCAAGTTGGCCTCTGCATAATGTATGAAATGGCCCTTTGTAGAAGGTCTGAAACACACTTGATTGATCTTGTTTCTGGATCAACATTGGTTTAGATATTCTGCTGTGCTGCTTTGGATAAGAACCTGGAAAGAGGTATGTGTGTGGCTTAGTATTTTAAGGGAAAGCAAAGAAAGCAGTCTTACCTTTCAAGAGGCACATTTGACATCAAGGCCAAAGAATAAAGGCAAGAGAGAAGAACAAGAACAGAAAAAGAAACTGCAGAGGAAGAGGAAAAGAACACATTATTTTTCGGGGATATAATATTTATTTTCACTATGATGTATGTGATAAGGATCTAACTCCATTAGACATGTGATTACAATGATTATACTTCCAGTAAACCTTTTCTCCTGGAAGTGATACATCACTTAGACTATAGGGTTGCGTCCATTTTGTTAACATTTAACTGGCACAAATCATTATTAAAGGCCTCGTGCTTAGTAGCTTGGCAGATTTCCATGGAAATCAGCCTGTTAGGCTGACTTTGAATAGTTGGGGATTTATTATCTGATAAAGAGGTGTGATCTCAGATGCACATGTAGGAATCAAAATTCATGTCACTGAAAGGACCCAATTTGAGGGCACAAGAATGGGTGCTGAAGTGCAATTTTTATTTCCTTGGGTGCACTGGAGCTCCCATGTCTTGATCACAACACAGGGTTAGAGTGGAAGACTGGACAGCCTGTATAAATCTGTACTAGCAAAATGATAGAATGATACATTTTGGTCATGCAAAAATAGTAAATAGGGAAAGCCTTTGTATTATGAACATCAACTATTCGTGCTTAACCATGATGGAAAATCTTTTGGGTTGATTCTTTTCCCTGAAACGATTTCCAGCATGATGACATAGGTGGATTAGTGCCAATATTTTGCTTTGATTTTCACACAGAGATTAAAGGCTGGATGGCTTCTTCAGTTAAAATCCATTTGCTGCTGTGAAGTGCACTACCAGCTGTCTGATTAATTAACAGGAAGGAAAAAAATCCGATGAAGGGTAGACTGACTTAAAAACAAAAACTGCTCTTGATCAGCCATTACACAAATATGGGCAAATCTGCAAGTCTGAATCACAACTAATATCTCAGGCCAGTGTTTTTTTCCCTTTGTAAATTTTAAAATAGGATAGCAGTAAATAGACACTAGTGCTGAGCTGAAAGTTATTTAAAGAACATTTTTTTTCACTCATCCTGGAGGGTTGGAAGGTATCCTGAAACTTATTTCTCCTTCCATAGTCCTCTATCACTTTTCTCCAGTGTTGGAGTGATTATGTGCGTGTTGCTACAAAGCACAATTATTCTTCAAAGTTCTTTCCTACCTAGAAGATGCCAAAGTCAGGGTTTTTTGCTCCTGCCCTCATTCTGATGGTGTCAGCCTGAAGCCAAATCAAAGTAAGGGCAGGTACAGAAAGTTTTCAGCCCTTACTCTGATATCTTCTAGGTGGGGAGGAAACAAAATAGCATCCAGTAACAATGGGGAGCAAGAACCATTCTTGCTGCGTAGTGGGGCATATTCTTTACACCTGTTCACATGTTCATTTCAAATATCCACAATGAGTCATGGGGGCACTGAAGTGAAGAAGGGAGTATTTTGGCTCAGCTCTATCAGAAACAGCGGATTTCCAATAGAAAGGCAGAGGTTTACAGAAAAGCCTCTGCAAAATTTCATGGAGTACACTCTGTAGAGTAAAAAATGCAAAGCAACAGAACAATTAATTAACACCAATTATACTTAATAAACCTGAAAGGAACACATAAAATATTAAACTATCTAGGCTTTTAAAATATGTAAATAACCAACCTTTTCTTCTAAATCCTTGATCTGTCTCTTCTGGATGTCAGTTTTATCTTCTAAATCTCTGATCCTCTAGAAATAAAATGCACACATAAAAAGAGAAAGAAACTTTAGGTTTGCTGAATTTTGACAGAGAAAATACCATTTAAGATTTCTAAATTAAGAACTTGTATTGATGGTGAGCAGTTAATGTGCACTCCAATTACAGTGCAATCTGATACCTCTCTACTCAGAAATACGTCCTATTGAATCCAGGTAAGTGAATATACGATCACAGACTCAAAATGTCAAAAATAAGTTTGGGTTTCCTTAATTTCTGCAAGTAACTTACTTATTTATCACTTGGAGTTCCTCTGGACAACCTGTTTATTGAACTTTCATCCTAATTTGCTTGTGGGATGTTTATTTTGTAAATCATTGGATCATTTCCCACTTTTCAATGCATTACTTTCCTAACTGCAAAAAATCCATTTCTTTTTTTAAGTAGGTCTGTTGCACTAGGGTGACAGAGTGCTTTTATTCTTTAATTGTGTGAACCCAAATTTCCTGGTATGATTCCATCCTGTGAAATACTGCCAGTCTGGAGGTGCCTTATGTAATGCAAAATCCACAGGTCTACCTGATTTGTTGCTGGTGTTTTACAGGGCAAATGCATTGGCCATGAAACAGTGGATAACAATGCCAATTTTTGCAAGATAAAACCTAATAGTATTTCTTCTGAATCTCACCTGATGTGCCTGCTGAAGCAACTCCATTCTCTCCTGCAAGATCTGGCAATCATATTCTCTGCTTTTTCTCAGCATCTGCCGTCTTAATTTTTCAACAGCGGTCCTAAGTTCCTCCTGCTGCTTCTCACTGAGCAGTTCTCCAAATTTGATCACTGTTTCTTGCTGCAAAGCGTTGTACAAAGTGGCTTCAAGCTCCTGGATTCTCTAAGCAATGGAAGAGGAAAAGGTGTATAACCTCACACTAAAACTACTTGGGTAGGTATAATCCTGAGTTTCCTTAACATGCATATGTTTAAAAACTATGATGTGGAAGAACAAGGTGGCTAGACTGGAGGAGTCAAAATGAAAACGGAAAGTTTGTGATAGTTTTTTGTCTCTCTCTCTTTCTTGGTGTGTGTCTACACATATGTGTATATATAGTGTATTAATTAGTCTCTAGAATTTGGTAAATGATAACAATTCTACATGAAGGTCTAAAATCATCTACCTGCCTACACACCTAGACGTACTGTAGTGAATGCTTACAGTCACATTTAGATTTTCCCATTCACTTCAACAGCAGATGTAACTCTGCACATAGAGAACAATATGCACCCTTTTCTGCCATTATGCCCACGGAAGCTCCATGTAGGCAATAGAGCTTTCGCATATGAAAGATACCCATAGCTCAGGCTGATTTCTTTCCCTCCCACCCCCGCAACAGGGAAAATGCTCTACCTTCTAAAAACCCAAAAACACAGACACAATTCCAACTGCTGACATGAGAATGTACCCCCAAATACATTGAGGTGCATGTAATCAGTGTTCTGAGATCTATGTGCTGGTGTTCATTCCAGCTCTTGCTTTCAACTTACCATATAGGCCTGGTCAAGAGCTTGTTTCCTGTAGTCCAGTTCTTCCTCTAGATAACCTTTTATTTTACAGAACTGCTCCTACAATGAAGGATGTTTTTGGAAAAAAACAAACAAACCCACAAGTTAATTATTCAAAAGCTGTAGCATTTGATGCTCAGAATCATTCAGAAAATAAATAATAAAATGTGTGATGTATGTATGGGACAAAGATTGCAACAATTACAAGGTCTAGTTTATGTGTTTTTTTCCCTACCATGTCACTCTCCAGCTCCATCATCTTCTGGTGCAGAGCTGCCTCAGCCCCTTCAATCTGCTGTATCCACTAGAAAAAGGAGCAAGGCCAAAAAAGTTATTTGCATCTTTTTTTCATTACTCTTGTCAAAACAAGAAACAAAGGAAATAGGAGCCTTCTGAACGGCTTTCTCTTTCAGCAGCTGTAAAGGCAGTTAATGGGATTCTAACAGATAACAGCACTGATTTTACTGACCTGTAATTCTATGCATTTGTTATCTATTAATCTTGACATTTCTTTCCTATTTCCTTCCTCCCAAAGAAGCCCAGGGCAGCAAACAACAAAGCAGCAAACCATCACAATGAAATAATAGAATGAAACAGAACATTTAGAATGTTGGGTTTATGTGGTTTTGTATTGTAGTTGTGGCTCAACCTGTAACCCGTAAGGATGTAAGTTTTCATAATGTGGATAAATAAATATCTTACTTTAGTTGTTTGCCATTAATTTGTATGAAGTGTTGGACTCGGATCCATACCTCTTTCTTCCAAATGTGGTAAGAGGCTATGGCTGCCCAGTGGTTTTAAAAAAAGAAACCCCTAATCACAGACATTTTGTTCACATCTCAAGCACTGAAAACGTGGCCTAGGGTAACAGTGGGGAACCTCTATGGCCCTCCTGAAGTTGCTAGACTACACCTCCCATTAGCCCAGACCATTGGCCATGATGGCTGAGGTTGAAGGGAGATGGAACCCAGCAATATGTAGAAGTCTACAAGTTACCCAACCCTGTCCAAGAGCCAAGTCCAGGCAAGTTCTATTTCTTAACCACTAGTGCAAATCCTTCCAAGTCTGTTCTTGTGGATATTTCCATCTTCCCAAACCTAAGTCTTCTATGTTTGAGATATTTTTTCCTGGATACCCCATGTTTGATGTTGCTCATCTTTTCCCATTCAAAGGGCTGAGTGGTTCTGCTTCTGCTCAGAGCTCATCAGTTTATCATTTACAGCACAGGCAGAATCAGTGCCAGGAAGCCATGGCACAGCAGAAGAGCATCTGCTTTGTGTGCAGGTGGTCCCAGGTTCAATCCCTGCCAGTTAGGATTGGGAGAAAACCATGTCTGAAAAATGATGGAGGGCTGCTACCAGTCAAATGTAGACAATACTGAGCTAGATGGATCAATGGTCTCAGTAAACGGCTATGTCCTATGTACCCTACTGTGGGCCTGTTCTCCATTTAAAGGGCAGTCTGTGTTAATGTGAATCACTAGTGTGTGCATCATTCTGGGTAGTAATCTCATCATTTCAAGGACAGACTCTGCTAGCTAAAGTGCATATTGCTCATTAATCTGTTGTTATTCACAGAGTGGGAGCTTTCAAGCCAAGCAAATTGTCATTTATCTGAACAATGAAATGCTGGTTTTTACTCTTCACTGTAATGAACTCTTACTGGAACTAGAATGTTAAAGTGAGCAGTGCCTTGGGCAACTGAAAGGTAGTAAACAGTCACAAAATAAAATGATTTGGCTTTTATCCGAGAACCAGGCCAACATGAACAACAGGATTGATGAATGAAATTATTTAAAAAACAAACAAGCAGGAACAAACTAATGTTTCCTTTTGTGGAGAATGCACCTGAATCATATTTTACTCTTATCCATTCTTTCATATGAGAAGACAACATACTTTTTGACAGACAGATAATATTTCAGCCTCCCCCCGTCATTCTGTGCTACATCGCTTTCCAATTAATAGCTTAAATTTATGTACACTTAAAGATACCAAGTGCCCCAAAAGTACCTTTTCTGCCAGGGACAACACGGTGCTAGCTTGAATTATGGCCACTTGCTCTTCATTTCTTAAATTCTGTAAATTTCAAAAGGCAAAAGATCAAACTGAGAAAAGCAGCAGTTGTTTGCTAAATAGGTACTCTCTCTTTCTCTCTTTGAGGGAGAGAATTCTGATTCAGTTTCTCCTATAGTCCAATACATCTTAGTATCTTAGTATTCCCATGCCCCTAATGGACTTTCCCCATTCACTTAAGTGGAGGAAGCAGTTTGTGTACAGGCAATGTGATGCACTGTGCAAAATCACATTCTCTCTTCAAATGAATGGGGAAACATGCCTGCATGGATATTACATTCTGCAGTGAGCGCAGAACTCTGTACCAGAGACAAAACCTTTCTTATCCACAAAAGGCCAGTCTTTGTAACTGACACAAATATCTCCAAAATGCACAATTGGGCGATTCCTTTTTTTTTGTTTTTGTTTTTTTGCATTTTAAAATTTTATTGAGTTCCATCATATATACAACAAATCCAAATTTCAACATTTCTCGTACATTTTGGACTTCCTTCAACGTCGTTGACATTCATTCGTAGTCAGATCTTAGAGTCGCATTCCATCTCTTCCTATTGCCATTCGTGCTATTTTTATAAGTTCCTTCGTTTAAACAATACCTGTTAGTTCTTTACAGAGCCTCTTTAAATCCCACCAGCGTTGTGTTAACTGAACATTTATTCTCCAGATAACCCGCAAATTTCCCCCAGTCCAATTGGGCGATTCCTTTCTTGAAAACCAAACATCTCAGACAAAGTTTTCTTCCCTGTTTATCTATTTTCTTTGTAAAAAAACCAAATCCCTTAATAAAAACTAATTTGAAAAAAGGAGATTACGAACACAGTTCTATTGCTTTCCTCTTTGATATTAACAGGTTGCTGCATTACTCTGCAGCCTTACAGGTTTCCCTGGTGGTGCTGTACATAATATTCATATTATGTACAGGTATGCATATCACTTACCCCATTGTCGCCCAAGATGTCTAACTGTTTTATAAGATCTGGAATGCTAACATCCTGTTAAAAAAAAACAAAACTCTTATTAAGAACAGAAGGATCAAGGCTTTTCACAGTATAAGCAACAAAACTAGAGTGCTTAAAATCATATGCAGCTCTACTGTCTAACACACTTCATTCATAAAAGCGAAACTCAAGTGTTCAATGAACTTTGGGAAGAGCTCATCAGGGTTGGGCCCACTGATCCTGTGCCCAACTTCCTTGAACTCAAAAGTCATGTGTCTTTGCATGTGCATGGACTAATACACTGGATAATGGAGGGCCATGGATTAAATGTACAGACTCTATGCAAATGAGATCCTTGAATGTGCTTAAATTGGGATCACCATAATCCTAACTCCGCTTGTATCTTCATGTGTTTGCTTGTACCTAGATGAACAATTTAACAACTGAAATTAGTTCCAAAAGAAAGGCAATAGGATCTTTCCTTTTTTTATTGAATCCATGCTAACGTACCTTGACACCTTCTTTCATGCAGTAGATTTGCAGAGCACTTACACCATCGGAGAATGGGTGGATTTGTAGATTAAATGGTGGAGACCTTCTTTCTCTTTCCTTCAAGTAAAATGTAAGAATTATGTAAGAATTAGAAGAGTTATGTACATTGAGCAGATGAAAACTTTGCTTTTTTTACCCTGTTCTTCTTTTTACCCAATTTGTTCTTCATCCTTTAAAATGAAGCGACAAATATACAGCTGAGCTATAGTGTTTATGTCTGATATATGCTGTACATTTGTTTGGTTTAATGTATGTTTATAAGCTGCTTTGAGTTTGTGTAAGAAAAGCAATCAGTAGGTTCAATAATAAACAACAGATATATTTTTTGAGTAAGCGGTATATATATTTACTAAATAAAAAATAAAAATCATGAGAATGTTAATCTGAAATGAAATATTTGGGTTACCAAATGCCAGTAAGAATGTTCTCAAAAATACGCACTGACTTTATTTATCTATCTGTTCTTACAATATTTAAATTCATTAAATATTATTCATTAAATATCATTCAAAGCAGGGGGAACCGATCTGCTATTAATGGTATTGTCAACATATATCAAAGAAGACTATTCATATGGATGATTGTGACAGATTCGGAGCCTGTTATTTATTCTGGAGTAGCTGACCTACATTAAAAATGCATGCTCTGGTGAATTTCTCAGTGAGACACTGTACTGGGGAACTCCTGAAATAGCAACACCAAGCTTGAATGTGGCGCACTGTTTGTACCTGGAGATGCTTGGTGGTGAGCCCATCTAATTATTTCTGTTGTTCTTTAACATAAGGACATACAAAGAGCTCTGCTTGTATCAGGTCAATACTAGTTCAGCATTCTGTTCTCACAGTGGCTGACCAGATGCCTATGAGATGCCTGCAAGGAGCATATGAGCATAACGGCACTCTCCCCAATTGTGCTTCCCAGCAACTGTTGTTCAGAGGGAGGGAGGGAGGGAGGGAGGGAAGGAAGGAAGGAAGGAAGGAAGGAAGGAAGGAAGGAAGGAAGGAAGGAAGGAAGGAAGGAAGGAACTGGGCAACTTTTATTCCACACTGCTCTTCCCAGTTCAGTTATCTTTGTTCATCAATGATCATTTATATATTTTTGTGTATCTGCACTATGTTTTTCTGTATAAAATATTCAAAGCAGCTAACAGCTTCCAAACAGCAAACCACAAATACAAAGTTATAATCAAAAATCATTCTGCAATAAAGGGTCCACAGCGTCTTACTTCAAGCTCCAGATTCCGAAACTCCAACAGCTCATTTTGATCTCTGGCATCCTGCAGCTCCTGTTGCAATCGATGGTTATCAATTTCCAGTTTTTCTATCTATAAGGCAAATGTAAATATATAATTAGTGGAGATTCCGGACCATGTTTCTTTAGAAGTTGGTTATGGCCACTCTCTCCCCTGCAATATTCCATCCCCTCCCCAAAACGAAAGTTATCCAACTGTTTAAACTTCGTTGTCAGCCTGATAATGGAAAACATAACAAAGCCTATAAAGGTTACAGGTCATGTGCTATAAGCATAAATTGCCTTTAAAAATCGATGGAAATATATCAAAAGCAACCTGGCACATAAAACAAGATCTGCATGTGCTGATTTGGGACTTTTAAGGGATTCATTGCTCCTTGTGGCTAAGAGATACTTTTGAAGATTATTTTTGATGATTCATGCAGTTTTCATGGATGACTTTTCAGTTTTCATGTTTTATATTATTAAATGCATTGTGTAAGGACTGGCCTTTGAGCAAAATTGGAAGAATTCTTAGTTGCTCTGAAAGGCCAATTCTGAAGAAGGATGAAACAAATTGCTGCTAAAAGTTACTTTTACTGTCTGATGTTGTTGGAGAGTCTCTTGTTTTATTTTTGATTACAACTACTGCCCTTTCTTTGTAATTAAGTTTCATCTTGATAGCTTTCATTTGTTCTTTATTTCTGGCATTTGGGAATTCGGGAATATTTTACTTTCTTCCTATGCAAACTTTAGCAACGTTTTGATATCTGTGCTTTTTGTCTACCTGTTGCCTAGACTACTGTTTTCAGAATTTGCAGAGAAATGAAAAGCTTCTTATCATGCATTTGGAATCCTGGACAGAACAAGGTACAGTGGCTCTAGTTTTCAGCACCAAATTCTACACACTGATGTACAATCTAGAAATTCAGGTTTTGAACATACCTTATCCAAAAGCTCTTGATTCCTCTTAATAAAAAGTTGCTTATCTTCTACCCAGTGGGAGTCCTGTTTGATGGGAAAAAATATTTTAACATTAAAAGAAGTGTGATATGTAATGAAGTAGACACACTATGATGTGTATGGACAAAAGTTTTTTGTTAAACGGAACTAATGCATGTCAAAGAAAATTGTATTGTGTGAATTGGCCCTGAAAGGGCTGACATTTGTGGGAGATAGGAAACCACAGTCATGATAGTAATTAAAGCCACCATGTCTAAGAAAATAATGGATGTTATTTTCACCGTGCTGACTCAACTCTTATTCAGCTTTATATTGCACTTACTACCAAATTAATCCACAGTTGTGTTGTAGGAAGTGGGGCATCGAAAGCAGCTACATTTAATGGGTGGGATATGTATGACCACCCAATTTGGCGTGTTGCTACAGTTTTCTGTGTATCTTATGGTCTTATGGTCTCTTATGGTCTTCACATGTCACCTTTCACATAGTGGAGACATGTATGCAAAGCATTTATTTCCCATACAACAAACCATGCTTCTAACAACTTCTTTATGCAAAAGCAAATCAATATTGCCTATGGGTGAAAACAGCTGCGGAAAACACCAGTTGAAAAGAATATACCTGTCCTCTCTGTGCCAGCGTTTTTTCCAGATCCTCTATTTTAGCTCTGTACCTCTGGACTTCAGCTTGGAGCTGCTCCTGTGCCTGTTAAAAAGAATAGCCACAACATTATGTGACACAGCTATGAGTTTCTTACAACATCTCTCTCCTCCTCCTCCTCCTCCTCTGTTTTTAAGTTTGGGGTGTATGTTTGAGTTTTAGAGAAATGTTGCCCATGGCAAATGCTAACCTTGGCTTCTCGTTCTGCATCTATGATACCTCCTGTTTGCTCTTGCAGTAATGCATAGGCTCTCTGCAGGGCTTGGTACTCCTTTGTCAATTGTCGAAATCGCAACTCAGATTCTTCAGCTGCTAAGCTCTGCCAGAGAAATAAATAAATAAAGGAAGTCTCAGGTGGTTATAAACTGTAGGAATGTATATTGCATAAACTTGGAAGGATTGTATAGGGTTTCTACCATGCTGAAAGCCACATTTTTTTTGGTATTTTGTTTAGGAGCTTAATGAACACAAATTTAAAAAGAGTCACCATATCAAAATGCAACCATCAATAACATATTTTTAAAGGGAAAAGGTTTGTTTTTTGCTTCCCCCCCCCCCCGTAAATTAAGGGAATACAATTTACATGTAACCTAAAGAGAGCATTGTTGTAGCTTGTGTTCTCTCTTATATGTGGTTTCCTTTAAAAACCAAACACTCAGTTCTCTTTCAAAAAATGTGATGTAAACATACTTAAAATGTAGTTATAACCAGTGCTTTTTTCCTAGGGGTATGCAGGGGTACACATATCCCTAAACATTTTGTGACCCTAAGTTTGGCCTCATTGAGAGGCAGTATTTCAATATGAGTAGGAAAATGAGAGTACCCCTAAACATTTTTTAAAGAAAAAAAGCACTAGTTATAACACACCAGATACAATAATTCAAAATAATTTCCCTCCACAATTTATACACCATGCTTATTTTGAGAGTTAAGCAATACTAGAACACTTGGTCAAATGGCACATGATGCTAAACAAATTTCTGAATGTCCTGACTGGAATTCTCTATTTAACTCACAGCATTTCCAAGGTGGGGCAAAGCTATCAGGACTGCAACGTAGGGCAGGAAATGCGACCCCTTTTCCCATGCCGCTTCCCAGCAGAAAAAGTCCCACCTTCAACTGCTATGAGGTTTTGCTGGTTTTGCTATTACTTGCTTTGGGAGCAAATAGCAGCTGCAAGGAGGGGAGAATTTTCAGTGGGGAAATGGTACAGGGGAAGAGATACCGTAAGTTTCTTGCCCCCCCAGTCCTGATTCTGATCCCCTCCACACATTAAACAAACAAACAAACAAACAAACAAACAAACAGCAGAAGTATAATTGTGGAATTCAATGTGTTGTAAACATCAGATGTAGTTTGGCCCGTGTCAATTCAGCTGAATGGATTATTCAGCTGGAAAGAAGGTATTTTATCACACTTTCAAAAAGCTGGGAATTTATTTTCTGAAAACAAAATGACACACAAGGCAAAGAATTAGCAAGAAAAACATTTAAAAACGTGAAGAAATTCACTGAAATTTACAACATTTTTTCCTCAACGTGGTAGTCTTTGACAAGAAGCTAACCATACCATGGTTTACCTTTCGTTTAGGAACACAGGAAGCTGCATTAAGCTGATTCACACCATTGGTTCATCAGGTTCAGTATTATCGACACTAACAGCCAAGAGCTTTCCTGGATTTCAGACAGGGAGTCTATTCCAGCCCAACTTGGAGATGCTGGGAATTGAATCTGGGACCTTGCGCCTGCAAAGCAGATGCTCTGCCACTGAGCTTTGGCCCTTTCCAATTCAATTTAAAATGCATATTTTAAATAGGTCACAAGAGAGTCCTCTGTTTCACATAGTTTATTCAACAAATACTTATCAAACAACTACATTTTGCTCAGATTTGTGCCATGTCCCAGACTTCCTGTTTTTAAAATTCCGATCAGTCACTTAAAAATAAAAATTGTTGCCACTGCTAGCCCTTCAGGGTGTATAGTATGAGGCAAAATATCTTACTTCATCCAGGTCTTCATCTGGAGTTGCTGGTGTTCTGTCTGTCCTGAATGAAGCCATGGATGAAGTTTCTGAGTCCATGGAGTCATCATCACCCCCATAAACTGTGTCCAATATATGCCTCTGAAAGGAGGAAAAACCTCACATGAAAAAATACTGCCAGTATTGTTCCATCACCACAGGCAATAGTCAGTCATGCTCACAAGTCCAGTCATTTTGTTCTTGATTCAGGCACATGGGTGCAGCCTGACTGGCTCTGCACCGACTATTTCATCATGTCCTGCTGAGCCACAAAATCTAGATAGCAAGCAGATGTGATTGCTGCGCTGGGATCTGCACAACATGGCGTCACTGGTGGGCCCGTTTCTGTTTTAGAAGTACAGTGTACACCAGAATTCCTCCTCTCACTCCCCCCGTGTCAGAGTAGTGGCAGTCACTGATGTGGACGCAGCTTCACGGTGTGCTGTGCAAGTGAGAGAAATCTCACTGAAATCAGTGCACAGGGGCACCAGGATTCCGTTTGCTAGCAATGGGCCCTGCACAGGGAAGGCTGCTTGATCTAGTGCAGGCTTTCATGAATGGAAATGGAAGAGATGTGATTTTCGCACACAGCCACCCTTTCTCTTGCAGCCCCCTGTTGCACCACTTTCCACGCATTTCCAGAGAGTCCCCCCAACCTCCTTTACAGATTTGGGGAGGTAAAGGGGAATATAGAGGGAATCAGAGAAATCGCTTGCCTCCAGCTTTTCTTCAAACAAAATCACAGAACTGTAGCGTTGGAAGGGACCACAAGAGTGTTCTCGCCTAACCCCATGCAATTCAGGAATCACAGATGGATCAAAGAGCCTTCCTTGATCAGGAGGACGCTGCTGTATACAACCCACTGTTGTTGCACCCACTATTGATTTGGTATCAATGTATTTACATAGTTCCATCATTGTGCATGCTGCTTTACAGAGATATAAGAACTGAGATCCCTGCCCTGAGGAGCCTCCATTCTAAAATCTGACACAGGGAAAACAGAAGAGGAAGGGAAGGGGTGTGGGTGAAACAGGGAAGCAATATATGGTTGCTTCAGTTACATGTCCTTATGTTTGGTTACAGGCTTAGTTGGAGCTAAGGCACAGGAACAATGCTAAAGTAACTGCTACTTTATGAAGTAAGCCATGTTAAATCCAGTCCCCGCCCCCCCCAGCTTAGTGCCTTCAGACTTCCTAATTGAATTAGAAAACATCAAAGGAAAGATGAGTCATGCTGTAAGATGACAGAGCTGCTTAATCTGTGGGTTTGGATAGCAAAGTACTGGCATCAGCACTTAAAACTTGCCAAGTGAAGTGAAATTGTTTTGCAGACAGCCTGATCAACAAGAATTTAAGGCACACTTGTATTGTAATGTTTCTATTCCCACATAAAGGATAAGACATCACAGGGGTGGAAAGCATATGGGATATGCATGGTCAACTGGCAGAAGATTTGCAGCTCCTCTCTCTCCCAGGAGATGAGGTCCAGGAGTGTACTGAGCTCAACGTGCAGGTTCACAAATCTCTGCTTTTTTCACTTCTTTTTCTTCTTGGCTCCACATGCTCCACCCCTGGCAAACGCATCCTGGATTTGCTGCTATTTGTGCAAATTCATTGCCTCTATTGGCAAAACCAAGTCTGCGAGGCCTAGTGCCTTTCTCACCAAAATGCCTGCGACTCCCGACATTGGGCTCTGCAATAATGAAATACAGCACAGCCTGTTTGTCCAAAACATTTCTATGCTTCGCTTACCTTGATTGGCTTGGAACTTCTTTTATGCTTCCTGCGACGAATAAGTTTCTCTCTATCCTATAGAAGAAGAGCAAGGAACAGTGAGTGCCAGGGTAGGGCAGGCTCAGGCTCAGGCATCAAATATATTCCCCACATTGAGAAGTCTCTGGCCCTCACCCAATGGAAGGTGGGATCTTGAGGAAATGAAGGCCATGAGTTGAAAAAGGTCAGCCACCCCTGTCATCTCTAACCATTGGTCTTGCTGGCTGGGACTACTGTAAGATGGAGTCCAGCAAAATCTGGAAAGTTTTCTGCATCCCTGAATTAAAAACCAATCCTCATGATTATTCTGCCCGTGGTGGGTTCAGTTTGCAGCAGACTGCACCACCATCCAGCCAACAGGGCACCCACTCATGAACGGAATCAAGGTGAAATCCATACACAACCCGTAACAGTGGGAGACTAATTCATGCCATATAAATGCCAATGTTGTGTTGATATCTATTTGGATATCTGGCGGGCTTAAGTTAATGTTTAACTTTTGATGCAGTAACTGATGGTCATTGTATCCATAAAGTGAACTGTTGGTTGTTTTTGCTATTATTCATATTATTCATATATTATTTCTTTTTCTTTTTATTGTCTATAATTTCTTTTCTTTGTTAAATTTGCAAATAAAAATATTGTCATTTGTATTATTATTATTATTATTATTATTATTATTATTAAAGGATTGCTATGTCTGATCCTATGTGGTCTGGGAGCCTTGCTCCTGACTTCAGGATATGAGAAATGGTTCCATAATTATAGGCCATCTTGCTTTTTCATAATGATAGCTTTCAGGAGCTACTCCTCTACTTCTAATGTCTTGCAGAAGTGTCAACCTACCCGTGTCAATTCATCAATTATGTTCTGTTGTTCTATAACCTGAAGCTTCAAAAATTCAGTCTCTTGCTCTTCATTAGCTTGATCCAGGTCATTGAGAGATTTTAATTTCTTCAGAGGAGGATGTGATGTCATTTTTTCTTTCTGTGTAGCAAACAAAACAAAAGCAACCCCTGACTATTAAAAACAAGTAATTTCTTTTAAACAACATTTTCTGCTTCAGCAACATTTTCTGCCAGGTGTCTACAATCTGACATCCAAATTGACACGGCTATTTTTAGTATTTTGTTTTGTTTTGTTGCCTCCTGCCTTAAGTGTGAAATCATTATGGATGTCAGGGAGTTAGGCTGCAGTTTTTCCACTTTCTGTATTTCTAGGTAGACATAAATAGTTTCTAAAAAAAGAAGAAGTGTTCTCTTGCTATAGTCTTGAGGGTATGGCTGATATACTCTCTTATTTAGAAAACTGAACAAAACCTTGCTAGAGCTGAAAGTCCTGCACTATAGTATGAATGTTAGAGTCTGTGATTTGGGCTGAGAACTTGAACACACTTATTTGGGAGTAAGTCCCTAAAATCAGTAGGACTTCTGAATATAAATGCTTAGGATTTTATTGTTGCTTAAAATTAATTTATGCTAAAAGCAGCTTATGTTTGTAACTTTACTTCTTGGAGAATTAGACATCCAGTTCTGTTGCATAAAATCATTAAAATGAATCCCGACCCATTTACTTGCAGACTAGGAATCACTGAACATATCTTTTGATATAGGCTTACAAAGTTTTTGTTTTTTCAAAAGAGAAAAGTGCAGCGGGGAGCAGGTTGGGAAATGATTTGAAACAGATCTGTGTAAATTATTCCTTGTTCTTTTTACAATGCTCTTGCTTGTCAATTACTCTTGACACAAAGAAACTCCAGGATAAGTTTCAAGGGAAGCACATGGAGGCAGCTTACTTGGGAATGGTTCAAACATCTCTTCTGTGGGGTGTGGTTCAAGGGAAAGAACCCCCCCCCACCACTTCACAAAGGGAATCTTGGTGTGTGTGTGTGGTGTGCTGGATGTTCATGTGTACAAACGCAAGCATAGTTTAAGTGAGAATTGGGAGGCTCTCATGTAAATTTGCATGCATGGATGCTGCTCTATGCAACCTACTTAATGAGTATTAATCCTGATTTGCTTGCACAAAGTTTGCATTGGTCTTTATGACCATGTATCTGATGAATTGGACTGTAGTCCATGAAAAGCTTATGCCAGAATAAACTTCTTAAGTCTGTGAAATGCAAGAAGTTTAGGCATGCAGGTTGCTGTGTTCAGTTTGTATGCACCAGGATGTTCAAGTTGGATGTGTCAAACGTCACAATGTCATAGCTACAAAGATCAGCATGAAATTGACTGGTTTTTAGCTACTGATAATTTCCCTGTTTCAAGTTTCTGAAATCTTCACGCTCAGTTTTGAAGAAGGAAAAGCCTTCATCAACTAACGAGATCAAGTGTCAGCTTTGCCTTTTGCAGTTAAATCCCAGAAATTAACTGCAAAGAAAACTTTGTGGGAAAATGATTGCTTGTACATAAGAGCATGAGCAAAGTTCTTATTGTTACAGGGTGATTTCATAGCTAGAAGCATCCTTGGAGCATGAACAGCGCGTGAACAGCTCGTGCTGTCCTATATGATTGGCTAACGTAGCATGGCCTGATCGCTCGCATGGTCTAGTACCAAGGTCTTTATCTGCTGGCTAGAACAAATTGCTTGGCTTGTATTTTTTGTATCTTGCTGATTTCAGACAATAAAAGCTGTGCTGCATTAGCCCTAGGGGCAGCCATATTTCGGAACCTATTATGGTGTGAGACTGATTTTTCTTTGGATGCCGAGCTGCAACTCGACAATTGGTGCCCCGTGTGATTGCCTTCGGACTTCACGTTGTTTTTCATTATTCAGCACTCACCAACACGTCGTTCATCCACGTAGTGGATCCCTGGTGAGTGCTCCCGTGTGATTGCCTTCGGACTTCACGTTGTTTTTCATTATTCAGCACTCACCAACACGTCGTTCATCCACGTAGTGGATCCCTGGTGAGTGCTCCCGTGTGACTGCCTTCGGACCTCACGTTGTTTTTCATTATTCAGCACTCACCAACACGTCGTTCATCCACGTAGTGGATCCCTGGTGAGTGCTCCCGTGTGACTGCCTTCGGACTTCACGTTGTTTTTCATTATTCAGCACTCACCAACACGTCGTTCATCCACGTAGTGGATCCCTGGTGAGTGCTCCCGTGTGATTTCTTTCGGACTTCATGCTGTTTTACAACGTTCAGCCTCACCTCGCCCGGCAGGGCTGCAGACGCGTCGTTCATCCACGTAGTGGATCCCCGGTGAGAGCTCCCGTGTGAATGTGATTCTGGACTACGTTACGGACTTATCAGCACTTATCTCCGCCCGGACAGGGCAAAAGGCGCCTCTCTCATCCTCCTACGGATCCCTCCGGTAAGTGCTCCCTGCTCTTTTTGCAACTCTTGCAATCATGGGAAAATCTCTCTCTGCACCACAGAAAAATTTTTTTAAAGACCTTAAATTCCTTTTGGCCAGTAACAACCTTGCTGTTCGGAAAGCTGACCTTAAGTCCCTTATAAAAGCCCTGGACACTCACTGCCCCTGGTTCCCCCAGGACGGAAATTGGGAGTTAGACGATTGGAAAAAAATTGGACACTTCTTTCAAAATCATCCTCAGATTGATGTCAAGGTTTTGCACGCCTGGAGTAACGTCTACAAAGCTATGTCGTGCTTAACTCCTTCAAACATTCTTCTGGCTGCCGCAACAGCTTCTTCGCCCGCCCTCCCAGCTCCCGCTTTGCCTGCCTCAAACATACCTCCTAAACCGCCGGACATTCTCCCTCCGGCTTCTCCCGTCACTCCCCTGCATTCTTCAAATTCTGCAGCACCCCCCGTTCTTCCACCTCCTGCGCCCAAGGCCTCTGGCACCGCTTCTACTACTCCTCTCCAAGAATCTCTCCGTGCCGCCGCTCCGTTGTTGGGTTTTGATTGTACAACTCCTAATCTCTTCCCTGTGATTGCTCCTGCCGCGCCAGGGGGAGGCCCAGCCCGGCACGAACAGTTTGATTTGAGATTCATAAAGGAAATGTATTCTTCTGTCAAGGACAATGGCCCTGCACCCCCAGCCCCTGTTATGCTGAACCAAACTGATGTTCTTGATGGCTTAACTGGAGGAAGCAATTTTCTTCCTATTGCCCAACAGCTGGCCCTTGATCCTATGTATTGGGCAGCCACCACAGCCTCAGCCCAAGAGGCTCTGGCCTCTGTCCCTGATGACAAGACTGAGCGCAATGGCCAGTGGAGGAGCATCAGACAGGGTCCTGCAAAGCCCTATGGACAATTTGTTGATCGCTTGTATAATACCTTCAAGCGGCAAGTTCAGGACCTGGCAGCATAAGAACTGATTGTACGCCAGCTTGCGTTTGAGAATGAGGACTGTAAGCAAGCGCTGCGCCCTTTGATGACAACACCAAATATAGTCATTGCAGATGTGCTTAAAGCCTGCCAGTCAGTGGGCACTGAGATGCACAAAGCTCGCCTGCTAGCCACGGCTTTGTCCTCCACCGTGCCCCAGAATCCTGCAAAGGATAAAACCTGCTTTGGATGTAGCAAAGTGGACTATTTTCGTGCGCAGTGCAGATCTACCGCACAGCAATGTCACTCCAGCACAAAGTGCTCCATCTTTGATACAGGCCAGGACTTGTCAATTTTCTGAAGCACATCTTAGATCACATATTGGTCACCCTGGTTATTTGGCAACAGGAATTTTACGCCTGCTGAACTTCATTTCTGGAAGGAAGAAATATTGCAGCGTCCTTTAGTGTCATACAGGTTGCTTCCAGATCCACAGTGGAAGGGTCCAACTTCTTTGATTTCTTGCGTTCGACCTTGGCGCTCTTCTGTTGCCACGTCTTCGCCCAAGGAGACACCAGCGCCTTGAAACTGTATTTTACGCTGACTGCCAGTGATGACCTCCCACCTAATCTCAACCTGCACTGCAATTGGAGACATCGCCATATTGATGTGCCCTGGATAAAGTCACCTTCCACAGCTGTTCCAGTGTTTCTTGGCACGTTGAAAGACCATCTTCATCTCCACCGCATTGGCCCCCCTTTTTCTCTGGGAAGCCACTTCGACAATCAAATATCATTACAGTTTTGCTGCTTCTTGTTTGGGAAATGAGCCTGGCTTTGAAGGATGCCCTCGCCGGACCGGCATCGCTTGGATTTACCCCACAGATCTCTTCTTCTTTTCTCCTCCCTCAGGAGTCCTGCCCTATGATGTATTCCCCTGAGCATGTACAGAAAGCTGTCTTGGAACTATTGTGGACTCTTGGCAAGGGAGGGGGTGAGGGGATTTCAGTGTGTTCCAGTTGTTTCATTCTTGTGCTTTGGCATGGTTCCCGCACAGAAAGCAAGTTGCAATATGGTTCTTCAGCAAGGCCTGGAAGACAATGGGCTCTGTTCTCGACCTTGTTGCAATTTTTTTTAGTTACAGCAAGCAGCATATGCTTGGCTAATGCCTTTTAGCTGCTGAGAAAAATGATTTTGAAAAGCTTTGAGAAGTTTTGAGCTTGTTTTGGTGGTGGTATTCCAGTAAATGCTTCATATAAGATTAGCAATAATATGAAGGACAATCGTATAAGTTTTTAGGTCATTATCTATATTGTAATTCGACCTATGAGTACATTAATGGATCTTCTTGTTTTTTTTTAATGTTACCCTTCTGCCTTCTTTAGGTGCAGCCATGAATTACCGTGATCTGCATAGATTGGCAAACTGGACTGAAGCCTTGTTTTTTTAAAAAAATTCTACCATTTTGGCTTTAAAAATGATTAACAAAGAAATATCAGAAATAAGAAATGTAGTTCTTCAACATCATTATGCTTTAGATGTGATCCTTGCTTCTAAAGGTGGAATTTGTGCCTTAATTTATTCTCATTGCTGCATGTATATAACTGATCAATCGACCAATATCTCTGCTACTATTGATCATATGGAACAAATGATAGCCCATAATCCTTTGAATCCACCTGAAGGTTTTGATCCATGGGAGTGGTTGTCTTCTTGGTTACCTAATGGATTATGGTTAAGAAAAATATTATTGATTGTAATTGCATGTATTGCTGGCTTCATTATGGTGTGTTGTTGCATTCAATGCGTACCCTCTTTGATTTCCCAATGCACTGCATGGTGGTACCGACCACGGCCCACCACAGGGGTTACAAGAGGAATTTATGTTGCAAAGTGTAGACGCTTAGGCAATGAAGTGTACGATTTGGACTGATGGTCCCTCTTTTCCTCTAATAATATAAACAAGAAAAGGGGATATGTGGGAAAATGATTGCTTGTACATAAGAGCATGAGCAAAGTTCTTATTGTTACAGGGTGATTTCATAGCTAGAAGCATCCTTGGAGCATGAACAGCGCGTGAACAGCTCGTGCTGTCCTATATGATTGGCTAACGTAGCATGGCCTGATCGCTCGCATGGTCTAGTACCAAGGTCTTTATCTGCTGGCTAGAACAAATTGCTTGGCTTGTATTTTTTGTATCTTGCTGATTTCAGACAATAAAAGCTGTGCTGCATTAGCCCTAGGGGCAGCCATATTTCGGAACCTATTATGGTGTGAGACTGATTTTTCTTTGGATGCCGAGCTGCAACTCGACAAAACTTATGAGCAAAAACTTGCCAATATTACGATGCACAAGTAGAAAAAAAAATGTTCTGAACACTCAGTACAAACCATTTCTAAATTCTCCTTAGCGATTGCTTTGAGCTTCTCCTCCATGCGCTGCAACGACTGCATGAGTTCATCATTTCTCTTGGAGAGGCACTTATTTCTTTCCAGAAGAGGTTTGCATTGTTTTTCAGCTTCCCGAACACGTTTCAACTGTAACAACAATAATAACTCATAAGAGAAACCCCTTTCGTCATTTCTTCATTTAGTTTCTCATTGCTGGTGTCTACTGTGCAAGGAAAGGAATGATAACATGGTAATTCTAACTTTCAATAAAGCTGAAGGCAGAGGGTTTTTTGTGGGGGTGGGGTGGGAGATTAGAGCACTACAGGTGCTTTGAAAGAGGATGGGGAACCTCTGGTCCTCCAGATGTTGTTGGACACTAACTCCCATCAGTCCCCAGCCAGCTTGGCCAATAGTCAGGGATGATGGGAGTTGGAGTCCAACAACATCTGCAGGGAACTGCATTGGCTGCCACTGGAGTAAATCTTGGAGAAGAGATCTTCCCCACCTCTTTAGGGAATGTGCTTGTGTTTGCCCTCTGTTTTTCCTACTCATGTGTTGCTTATTCCTTCCATCTAAAAGTGATGAGGAGCCATGTAAATCATCCATTTGGTTTATGCTGTAACCCGCACTTTGACCCTGGGATGAAGGGTGGCGTAGAAATTTAATAAACAAAATAATAAGTCATGGCCCCTTTTAGGTCCTTTTGTTCTTTGTGATACAGCTTTCAAGCACCCCAACTGAAAAAACTGCTAAAAGCACCCACCAGTTCATTCCGCTCATCCACCAGCAGTGTGTTCCTGTCCTCAAGTTTCCGTATGGTAGCATTGAGCTCTGCCATCCTCTTCTGGTTTCTGCGTAGGTCCTGCAAAGGAAATGTTTAAATCATTTAATACAACAGCTGCATATAGGCAAACTGCTGTCAGTGCAGTGCCCAAGGCCAGACAAGTTATTTTGGCATCTGAGGAAGAAAATCCCACAGGCACCTTTCCCCTGAACCCCACGTGGCAAATGAAATAAATAACAACTTGTTACCTTTTTGTGACACCAAAGTTCAGCTGCCTGAGGCGACCACCTTAGTCTGTCTAATGCTACTGGACCTGGTAAGTCTATTCCACTGCATACCCATGGTTTAGGTTGGGCAACTGTAATGTGCTCTATGTGGGGCTGCCTTTGATGGTTGCTCAGAAACAGAGCTGATCCAAAATGCCAGGTTCTGTACATTTGCTGGATAAATGGACTGCAAGAGCTGCTTGGTTACCAGCTGGACTGTGTAGGGAAGTTTGGATTTAATATCCCGCTTTATCACTACCTGAAGGAGTCTCAAAGCGGCTAACATTCTCCTTTCCCTTCCTCCCCCACAACAAACACTCTGTGAGGTGAGTGGGGCTGAGAGACTTCAGAGAAGTGTGACTAGCCCAAGGTTTTTTTGGCAGAAATGATGGATCCCAAGGTAAGGTTACCAGATCTCCCCGTTTCCCAGGGACAGTCCCCAGATTTACATATCAGTCCCCTGACAAAATCCACCTATTTGGTAGGAAGTTGAAAAGTGTCCCTGGATTCATTGAAAAAAATCTGGTAACCTTAACCAAAAGAAGACAAAACATTTAGCCCCCCCCCCCCCGAAACCATGTCTCTCACCCTCTGGGATTCAATTCATTTATGATTTCACATAAAATAAAGCATTCAAACAATGAAATAATTGTTGCATAGTATGCATGGGTCTCTCCTGAATCGGCCATGAATGCAATGGGCGTAGGTAGGCCACTATCTCTCAGCTTCGACACCCCCACTTTACAGAACTGTTGAACACATTATTTTAAATTCGAACACTTCCATGCACTACAAAAATGCTAAGCTTTAACTTCCATAACCATTTTTGCAAATTGTGCTAAATTGAGCGTATTGAAGTGCAGTCTTACGCCAGCCACAAGAGGGCACGTTTCATGCACCACAAGTGGATGCTTCCTCGTGGAAATGATGCAATAAGTGGGCAAAGTGCATCCAGTCAAAGCCCAAATGTTCCCCTTTCTTACAGGACTGCTGCAGTGTTCAGAGCCATCTCCTGCTCTGCCTGGGATCTCTCTTTTGGGACTGCTCATGTTACATTCGGCCTCCTTTACTAAGAAGAGCTGTTCGTCCAAAGCCTCCTTCTGCAGTTGAAGCTTCTGAACATATCCAGTCAGGGTCTCCAGCTCTTTCTCCAAGGAGAAGATAGTTCTGTCTTTTGCTTTGATCTCATCCATCTGAATTAAGACATGGGAGGACAGTGTTATTCCACAAGCCAGAGCAGTGAGCCAACGTACTTTCTACACATTCATGAAGGCAGTTTACAGAATACAGAAGCTCAACTTGTTTACATTCAACCAGGCCTTTCAATCTACGAACAGAAACTTTTCAGTCAATTGTTACATTTTCTCCACCCCCTACTGTTATGGCCGGCAACATTTTATGGTCAAGGAATGATTATACAGCTGCACAGCAGGAATAATCCAAAAGGCAAAGAATCTCCATATCTGTGTCTGGATGTTTAGAAAAGATACACCTGTCAGATTTTTGACTGTTATGTCCTGGCATGTGAAAAAGCCAAAGAAAAAATAGACTGCAACTCTTCACAAGCCAAGGCTGAAAACAGGATGTTGAAAAGGGACATATAGATTTTACAGAGCTGAGAAAATATTTTATTTGGTGGGCACACAACATTTTGTTATGTAGCAGCTATGTGGTGTAACCATTGCCGGATTTACGTATAAGCTAAACAAGCTATAGCTTAGGGCCCCACTCTCTTGGCCTCCCCCCCCCCAAAAAAAATTAAAGGAATATTTTTTAAGTTAGAGCTTAATATTAATATCTTTCTTCTTAATTGTATTTCAGTTCAACAATTACTTTGATAAAATACATATTTTGTTATGTGCAAATGGCTTTAGATACCTATCAGGTTCATAAATTACCATTTAGCATATATTCAACACAAAAAACAGCGACAATTTGTTGTTGACAAAGGACAGCTGGACATATAAAGGGCCCCATTACCTTCAGTAGCTTAGGGCCTCATCAAACCTAAATCCAACCCTGGGTGGAACTACCCTAAACTGAATTATTTTGGCCTCATGATTTTTTCTTCTTTATTTCTTTCTGCATCTGAGCTCAATCCACATTATGATACTTTCCCAAAATGAGACAACTTGCAATGTTTAATTGTGATCGACAGATCAGCATGTCCCCAAAAGCCAGCTCATAGCTGCCCTATTTACCATGTGATTGTCAGGGGAAAAACATGCTGAGTCAGTATGGGTTGATAAATATGGGCTGGTTCAAAGAGCCTACATCTAAAGTTTTCCAGGTGGAAAGGTCCATAGAGGCAGCTGTATGGAGGAAGTAGTGTCTGATCTGAACCCAATCCGACCACATTAGGAGGTGGTGCTTCCCAGTAGCAGCTCATAAAGGCAGTGGCGGGGGCGGCGGGGGGGGGGTTATTACTGCACCTACACCAATCACTACTAGGAAGCAACACTAATCAGGGTTGTTGCACATGATCTTATGCTACTTTCTGGGAGGTTTTGCACTGAGGGTTTTAGAGCATCTAAACCAGGCCTGCAATTAGGATTGAGAAGTTTTCACTCAATTTGTATTGGCTGGCACTACTCTGTGGAAAGGTTGCTGTGTCCTTCTGTAGGGAGTTCTTGTATGGTGCAGAGACTGCTTAAATGACCTTATAAAGTAGATATTTCCTACAAAATCAAGAAAGGGTGCGTTTGCTGTGCCAAATCTGTAATAAACATGTGATTGGTTCTTTTAAGCATTCTCACAGCCATGTGCAAACTACTTGCAAGCAAGCAGCTGTCACAGGGCAGGGAAGATCACCTAGAGGGCACCTGTAAGGTCATTTAATGTGAGGTGCACCCCATTCACTCTATCCATTTAAGATTGTGTGCTAAAGGCATACCTTTGACTTGGACATAGCACATTTTGCTATCTTCCACATATGTTACTCTGGACGATGTAGGCTAATTAGAGCAGATGTACACCATACCTTTAAAGCACACCCAACACACATTTAAAGCACATACTTTCCCCAAAGAATCTTGGGAACTGTAGTTTAACCATGCTGGGAATTGTAGGATTTTTTGCACCGGGGGGGGGGGCGGGGGAGACGACGACTGCAGCTTCTAGGTTTCTTTGGGGAGATTCATGTACTTTAAATGTGTGTTGGATGTGGTTTAAATGCATGGCATAGACCTGCCCACAGTTTTATGACAAAGGCTCTGTGTCTAATATAAGCTTGATATCCAGAAGTCAGTCAGCTCTTTTGCCTGTATAGGAATGCAGTCACAGGGAAACCTGATTTTCTGCATGCAACTCTATAAAAATGAAGCAGTTGTCCATAAAAAATGTCAGTAGTTGTAACTGCAGTACTGGTTGTTAAGCTATACATAAAACGTTTAGCTTTTGCAGTCAATAAGATCAGTAAATGCTGAGCAGCTTTTCATTTTGCAAAGTCATACAAATGTTTGCTTATGTAAGATGAGTATAGAACAATTTTAGAACAAGAAGGTGACTCAGATTAAAGTCTGGCTAGCATTTATCAACTAAAGTCAATTTCCACAGCTAAGTGTGGGACTGTATACTGTACTGCAAAACAACAACACAGTGCTATCCAGTAAACTAAACAAAGGAAAAAAGCCACAAACAAATGATAGACCCTCAACACTCAGATCTCCCATTCCTCTCTGCAATGTCATGTTCAATTTATTCTGTGTCATCATCATCACCACCACCACGATAAAAGATTAAACATTAAAAACTTCCCTAAACAGGGCTGCTTTCAGATGTCTTCTAAAAGTCAGATACAGTAGTTGTTTATTTCCTTAACATCTGGTGGGAGGGCATTCCACAGGGCGGGTGCCACTACCAAGAAGGCCTGGTCATTACAATGTGAAGTTATTGGACTATAATTCCCATCCTCCCTGACCATCAGCCATGCTGGCTAAAGCGGAGTTGATATCGAGCATCATCACCAGAATTTAGACCATGATGTTGGGAGTTGTAGTGCAAAATACCAGGGAGAAACCACACTGGGGAAGACTGATTTTGACTGAGACCTCTCAATGTGAGACTTGAAAATGTCACGATTTGGTATGAACTAGATAACAGAAATAAGAATAATAAATGCTCAGCGGAAGAAAATGATTAATTTGGGGTGTCTATGTGCTAGCATTCACACAAAATAGACTCTGGAGAATTTTCCACACATAACTCAAAGCCACTTCCAGAGCCTGCAATATCTTGTGATTGCAGAATCCTTAACAGGAGCTGCTTTCCTAAAAGCAAAGCAAAGTCTGTGAGGCAGGGTCTGATCTTGTTTACAGAGCTGCCAGTCTGGTGAAATGTGCTTTTAAGCCAATATGCATGACACAAGGGTCTGGCTTTGTATGTGGCTCCCAAAAAGTTTGTATTCTGGGCTAGTCATCCAGACAAATTCAGTGCTGTGGACTGAATCCAACACTCCCTCTCTGTATACACTCAGCAGTGTTTGTACACACACACACACACACACACACAGAGAGAGAGAGAGAGAGAGAGAGAGAGAGAGAGAGAGAGATTGGCTTTGTTATTTCTCTCTAGACTTCTGCTTGCCACTAGATGTCTTCCTGCTTTACTGAATATATATATGATTTTGAAAGGTATACTCATGTTCCTTTATATGTATTGTTCTGTGTAGGACTCTGTGCACACTTTACAAGACTAGCAGTGAGAAGCAAGTTGATCCTCTTTAAGCTTGGAGGCCAGAGGAAGAGGAAAATACTTTCTTAAACAGCAACAATCAATTAAAGGAACATCTGCAGTTGATCCTTTACCTTCCACTCTTTAACACAGTTTTCAACATTTGTTTGAAGCCATTGATTCCCATTTGCTGCTGCTTTGGAGTCTATTATTATTATTAATAATATTATTATTATTTGAAGGGATTTCACCCAGTGATTAATTAATCTAATCAGGGATAACATACTGAATTTGGTGATGTCACAGTGGCACGTATCCAGTCAAATTTGTTATATGATGACATCACTGAGGACAGAAAGCATCCCTGTTGTCCACCTGGTTGTGTCATACTGTACTATCAGTTCCACTGCTCACTGGCAGTGCATTTTTGCTACAATCCAACTCTAATCATGGGCGCCTCCTTTATGCATGCATGTTGCATCAGAATATCAATTCAAATGCACATCTCAGTTAAGTGACACAGTGTGAATGTCACATGCGACGGAAGGTGTCATTTGCCTGCCATGAAACACCTTCACTGGGATTCACATCTCCTCTTTACCCCCCAACCTGCTATCCTATTGAGCAAAGTGTTAGACCCTTTCACAAAGGGGTGCAAAAGAACCTCCCAATGACATATAAAAGAATAATGCATTCACCGAGAGTGGAAATGTACACGAAACACCAATTTCACCTCAGCCCTAGGCACCTTGCCTAGGGGAGGGGTTCATGGAATACATTGCCATTTGTACAGCTTTGGCTTATTCCCCCCACCCCACCCTAGGGGCTGTGCAGAAAGAAATGGCTGTGGGCCTCCACCCCAAGTTCACAGAAATATTTTTTTTTCTTGGCAGCTGCATACCCATGCACACATTCAAGCGGAGTCAAAGAGGGCTGCTTGCATGCGTTGTTCACATGCCCTAATAACGACGAGGGAGACTAACTACTATTATGTAAGTTATGCTCACTGATTTTATATGTCAGTCTCGATAACACTCAGAAGGAGGATGCAATGTTCCCACAGTGAATTTGATCCGTGCGGGTGGGGGGGAGAGGATGGGGGCATCTCGAGCTACACTGCCCTGTTTCGGCAGCCAATTCATTCCTGCCCGTGTAACCTTCCTTTTGTCATTGCAGGCACCACATAAGAGTTGTGACAACTGCACAAAACCAGTATAGTGGTAACTTGGTTTTCAAATGCCTTGGTACTCAAACAACTTGGAACCCAAATACTGCAAACCCAGAAGTAAGTCTTCCGGTTTGTGAACTGTTTTGGGAAGCCAAATGTGCTCCATATTGAGTGTTATGCTCCCGATTTGAGTGCAACACTTCCATTTTGAGTGTTACACTGAGGTCTATTTTTGCTATTTATTTTGTGTTTTTGCAGCTCTTTTTGTTTTGTTTTTTTTGTGACTGTGTGGAACCTAGTTCAGCTACTGATTGATTGATTGTGTGACTGCAGTACATTGTTTATTGCTTTCATTTTATGGATCAATCGCCTCATTAGATAGTAAAATTCATGTTCAATTGCTGTTTTAGGGGTTGTTTTTAAAAGTCTGGGACAGATTAATCCATTTTGCATTACTTTCTATGGGAAAGCGTGCCTTGGTTTTGGAACGCTTTGGTTTGGGAACAGACTTCTGGAACGAATTAAGTTTGAGAACCAAGGTACCACTGTATGTACTTCTGAGCCCTGTTAAGTGGCTTCCCATCCAGATAAGGTTACTAACCAGTCTGCGGATATCCCTCTCGCTCTCCCATTTGATCTTCGAGATTGCTTCCTGGTGGGATTGGTGCTCACTCCGAAGATCCCCTGCTTTGATCTTATCCGCCTGGATCATGTTGTTCAGGGCTTCGTCCACCTGCTTTTTGGCAGACTTGAGTTCGGTAATTTCCTGCAAAAGCTTAAGGCGCTCAGAGTCAAATTGTTTCCTGGCCTCTTCGCGAGCCTCAATGGTCAGTGCTGTCCGTACTTTGTCGCTGCTCCCTTCCCGCAACGCGTACAGGGCTGACTTGAGCCTCTGGATTTCACTGTCTCTGATTTTCATTGTCCGAGCCATTTCTTGTTCGTGCTGCTTGATGAGATTCTCCCGCACGGCCTGCAGCTCCTTCATCTTCTCCTCGTGGAGCTTCGCTTTCAGTTCAGTGATCTGCACTGTCTGCTTGCGCTGCTCCAGCTCCCGGATCCGCTTCGTTTCTTGGGTTTTCTCCCTTTCGAGTCTGCTTACCTACAGGAAGACAATAAAGCAAGGGAGAGAGAAAAATAGATGTAATGAAACAATTAATAATGAGGACAATGACTATCCATTACATTTGTCGCTACATAAAATGTTTCAAAGCAGATGGCAATTATAAAAAAGTATACCAACACAGAAGTTTAAAGCAACAGCAAAAGAATTAAACTTCCTTAGTATTAGTATTAGTACAATTAGTATTAGTATTAGTACAAACACTCCTCCTGCAATTTGATAAAAAGGCTGAATCCTAGCTTTCCCTACCAAAAGGGTGAACACAGCAGTAGGCTGAAGTATGATTATACCATATGATCTTAGTTAAAAATCAAATTCTGGGGTAAACAGATCTGTCTTTGCTTGCGGCCTAAAAGTTGATAATGGTGATACAAGTCTTCAAAATGTTCACAGAATTTGCAGTTGTCACACAATTCCAAATGGCTTCTTTTTCTTCCAAAGTGAGACCAAAAGCTTGTTTACTAATGTAGCTAAAGTCCTGAGCAGCAAGTTTCCAACCAAACCTTAACCGAAGTGTGAACCCTGAGTCCCAAGCAATTCACACCTGAGTTAATCTGATCTCCACCTTTGGGGAATTGTACACTGATTCAGATGCTCGTCTTGCATTCATTCTGGATTCTCGAGATAAATTTATAAGACTTTTTTTTGGTGGCTGTTGCTATCATAGAATTCTAGAGTTGGAAGGGACCCCAAGGGTCAACTAGTCCAAACCCCTGCAATTCGGGAAATCTAACACATTTCCTTTGTATGTGTTCCAATACACCGTATTTCAGGCTTAAAAAACTACGTAGCTCATGAGGGTGAAGATACAGAGGGAGAGAACAAGGATATGGTGTGCTTTACCTGCAAGCGAATTTGCGAAGCTATCTGGGAGTTGTAATTCATCCAAAATACATATTTTGTTATGTGCAAATGGCTTTAGATACCTATTAGGTTCATAAAAAACAGTGACAATTTGTTGTTGACAAAAGACAGCTGGACATAGAAAGGGCCCCATTACCTTCAGTAGCCTAGGGCTTCATCAAACCTAAATCCGGCCCTGCATATCAGTCTTACTCTGAATACAGTATGCAGCTTATTCTGAAAAGGAAAGTATGGCTTTTGAGCCAAGGTGATGATTAACCCTTTGCTCCTCTGTGTCTCAATTTCACAAAATACTATCTAAGGGTAAGCAAGAGGAGATTCTGCTCGTGCCAGGCCTGACTTCAGAAAGCAAATCTAAAGACTGTAACTTCACAAAAGATGGCCTACATTACACAGGTTATTTCTGAAGAATATCCCCTCCTGCTCTGCACTATCCTCTGACACTTGAACATGAACTCTCTTAATTGTGTGTATGTGATTTGTTTTACTGCTGCTGAATTATCCTGTCATCTAGAGAATTTAGTTTTGTTTCTTCTATCTACGATTTAAAAGACGCATAAATCAAGCTGAAGAGATCATTTACAAAATTTGCTGTAAATATATATATGCCAGTCAGCATTCCTGCATATAGATATAGCCAGTCAGCAAGCCTACAAAAGAATAAAAATAGCAGGAAACAAACAACAAGACAACAACACAGAAGAGGGTAAAAATCATAACTCACAAATTCTTGAAAACAGCGACAATTTGTTGTTGACAAAGGACAGCTGGACATATAAAGGGCCCCATTACCTTCAGTAGCTTGGGGCCTCATCAAACCTAAATCCAGTCCTGCACCAGCTATTTATTTTTTAAAATAAGCAAGCATGCCTGGGTTAACTACGTGACAAGCCTCACATCTAGCTTGGCCCTTCCACAACACCGATTTCCTTGAGCCCATCTGAAATCTGCTGACAGAGCTTTTGAAGTCTGTGCATTGCAACCTGAATGGGTGGCTTAAATCCGCACTTCATCTTTATTACTTCAGAAACAATATTCAATAGGAATTTTGCCTAAAGAAGGGCTCATGTATGGATCTCAGCACTCGCTCCTATAAATATTTCACGGTTCTTGACAGAAAACAACAACAATAATGCCTTTTCTGCACTGTAAGCTGCTTTCAACATCATCACGAGGGCAGACTTCAAGTGCAGCCTGATAGTGACAAAAGCAATTTAGTGAGGGAAAAACACTTGGATAGAGAAACAATTTTGGTTTAATACTAAAGCTTGCAGGGGGAGGGGTGTTCAGTGCACAGTGATGACTGGAGAAAGGCTTTTGTTAAACAAATAAGGCTTTCCTTTTAGTATTTCTTTTTCAACAAATATAGTGAAATACAATTTAAGGGAAAGCAAAGAAATATTTTAAACCAACAGGGGGGCTCACTCACTAATAACACCAAGGAAAAATCAATATAATATTGTAATAGGCTTGCAAGCGATGGAGTCTTGTCAGAAACTGCACGTGTAGACTTTTACCGTGGAGGGGGAAAAGGGACTATCTGTGCTCAGCCAACCTGGCATTAAAAAAAAAAAATTGTGGCCTGAGTCCTAGAGCAATACTTGGAAGCCATTCTGGCATGTAAGTAGCAGTGCTTTTTTCGAAGGGGGCAGGTCGCAGGGGTACGCATACCCCTAAACATTTTGTGAATCTAAGTTTGGCCTCATTGAGGGGCAGTATTTCAATATGAGTAGGAAAATGAGAGTACCCTTAAACAAACACACACACACACACACACACACGTAAAAAAGCACTGGTAAGTAGTATATAAATGAAAACAGATTCCAGGGCTTATGTCTGATGCCCCCCAGCATAAATAATGCCTAGGACAGAGTGTGGTTTTCGCTGTAGTTTGTGCTAGGTTATTGTTGATGTTGTTTTGAATTATTTTATTTTATTTTATGTACCCCACCCATCTGACTGGGTTGCCCCAGCCACTCTGGGCGACTTCCAACTAATATAAAAGCATAACAAAACATCAAATATTAAAAACTTCAGATGTCTTCTAAAAGTTTTATGCAAGGACTAAGTCTTTATGGGCCTAAGGCTTGAAAGAAAAGGGAACACAGGCAATAAATGTAAGGCCAATGAGAAAGTAGGGCTGTGGTATGTTTCCAAGGCTGGAAACGTCTGCTAGTGTGCCTGTTTAGCTGAATGTGGCCCTACGAGTTAGAAACCCAAAGAGGTGACCAAAAACATGGAAAGTTTGGAGAAGAGATGAAAATTTACATTTAATTGGAACTTATCAGCCCAAACTTTGGCTGCCAGGATGCTAGCATTAATACATCAGGGAATGTCTGCTTGCAGTTAAAATTCCATGTAAGGACAGAAATTGTGTCACACCCTGCAAGATGTATTGAGGCAACAAAAGCACACCCCCCCCACCTTTATTTTATTCCTTCGTCCATGGGTATGGAATATATTTTAAACCAGATAAATGCTAAGGGGAGGAAAAGTTTCCAAAGTGCAATTTGGGTTCAGCATAGGTCACCAAAGTCTTCACATCAGAACTAAAACTGATCAGTGCTCTTCCTAAGGCAAGAGCTATTTTCATCTCGCTTTTGGAGACAGCTGACCAAAACATGTCCCCAGAATCACCCTAGAGCAATTATTCCAAACTGAAGTCTTCTTTCAATGCCATGGGGAAAATTCACATGGTAAGCTCTATGCATATACACTCGGAATAAGGAGCAGGACCCCAGCGACTTCCCCCATGTACCTACCAACCTTGCGTGGGTACAGATGTGTTTGGAGACTTTCTAACCAATAAGGAACCCTGATCATCCTTACATGCATACGGTGAACATGAAAAGTTGTTCATCATGGCATGTGCGAACTGGAAGCTGCATAGCCACTCGGGCTTGGGGTGGCATGAATGGTACTTTTCAATGGTCTAAGCATATGCCATATCCATTGAGGCTAGTGTGCGAACAGTCCTAATGAGAGCAAGCCCAACTGCAGTGGAGGGAGCATGTGAATGAAAGTCTGCTTATGCATATGCAATTATACCAAATTGTACATGTGTGTGTGTGTCATGTGTATGCGTGTGCATGTGTAGGTGAACATGTGTGTGCTGAATCTATGTATGGTGGGTGCTGTTTATGTGTAACTTCTGGCCTCGCCTGTTCTGGCCACACCCACTTTTGTTTGTCTCTGCCCGCATGTGGCCCAAGGAGGTTGGATGCAATGAGGCCCTCGGAATGAAAAAAGATTCTCCATGCCTGGTGAGGTGGGCTGAGTTTTAGACCTGAGGAGACCTGAGTTCAGTTCCCAACTGAGCCACAAAACTCACGATGTGGACTTGGGATAGTCACCTCATCTCAGCCTTACTTGCCTCACAGAGTTGTTAGAATAAAATGAAGAAACTCCTTTGAATGCCATCTTGAACTCCTTGGAGAGTTAGATTAAAATGTGCCAAAAATAATGGCTTAATTTGCTTCTCTGAAAGTTATCCAATACTTATTGGATTTATTTTTATGCACCTCTTTTCATGTGTCCCACCTAGACTTCTGGAATTTACCTCTGCTCAAACTGTGTTTCTAAAATTGTGATGATGATACCACCAGCAATTTACAGTAGTGACACTTTTCTGCTGTTGGGACAATCTTGCTGATCCTTCAGGTATTTGCTATGGGATCCCTTTGTAGAACACAAGAGTACCATTTAAAGAAGGGGCCTCTTACCCATCCTCTGTTTATAATAGGATTATCTATAATAGGATTATTACTCAGGAATATCTCTCATTATTACAAGAAAGAAAAATTACAAGAAAAACTGCAACGAACACCCTGAATCTTCTTGCCGCTCTTAAAATCTGGTTGCCCCACCCATTCTCGATATATGACGTGGGTCCCTTTGTCTCTCTCTTGTTAACAGCACATTACAAAAAGCTGCAACCAACCAAGAGATGCAGATGACTGTAGGGTTGGAATGAAGTGGCAATTGTCAGGACAACCTCCTCCTCACGCTACATCTTCCAGGCCTCTGGCAACTAGCCTACGGTTCTTAAGTGAACTGAGCAGCTAATTTTTCCCTGAGTGCTACAGGATCTGTGCCAAGGAAAGGGGGGGAGGGGACCCAACACAAGCTGTCTTTCAAGATTGTAAAAATAGAGTGCAGCACATGATGAATTGGAAACAAAAGCTCAATTTCCACTCAGTTACACATAGGTAAGTCCCACTGACATGACTGGAGCTTCTGCACATATTTTTTGGGGCGTAGGGCTACAGCTCTCCTCTCATTCAAAATTATTATTTTGTTGCTAAAATGGGCTGCAAATTAATGACTGACTCTCACTGGAGGGCAAAAGGAGAAATACTCTGGAGTACACTATCTTGTCTGATATTAATGCAGCACCGAGTCTTTCTTTCATCCCAATCATTCTACAATGAAATAAACTGGATTTCAACAGACACAGTTGATTGTCCTCTGAGGTTAATGGTAGCCTTGATATATGGACAGCCCAGAAAGGTCTTCGTGATGAAAGACTTCATGGAAGTTAAAATGGTACTGTTTAATTATGGAATCCAGTGGCAGCCTAGATTTGTTTTGCCTGAGGCGATGCTTATTGGCAAAAGAATCAAAGAGTCTGGGTCACTGATGTCGATTACAGTTCTCTGGGCAGAGAGAGAAAGGGAGAGGAAATCTTCCTCAAGATCCTTATAAAATTGCTAGTGTGGCTGGACTGCAAATTCAAAGTGGCAAGACAGCATTAGAACTGAAGCAGATTGGCAAGTAAAACTCAGAGAATCTGGAAGCCATTTCACAGCACAGGTGGAAGAATGCCATTTTTTTTAATGCTTCTGAAAAGGAAAAGAAAGGTCCAGCCATCTTCCCATTGTGCTAGTTTTTTGACACAAGAGCATCCATAATGTAACTCTCCTCTGCAATCTGAAATAGTACAGTCGGAATTCTACAGTCCCTTTTCCACCTCATTCTGCAGCCCAGGAACGCATGAAGCTGTCAGAGCACTGATCTATCTACATCAGTGCTATGGACACTTCCTGACAGCAGCTCCCCAGAGTTTCAAGGCAGTTCGACTGAGCCTGGGAACTTTTGCATGTTTCTGCCACTGAGCCATGGTCCTTTTCCATAAAGCCAGTTTTGAACGATGTCAGTACTAAAATCAGACCGACCATTTATCTGTCTAGTATCCTAAGAGGACTTGGGTAAATACAGAGATCAAACTCACCAAATGGTATATATGGGGAAGTTTGCCTGCTTCTTAAATATATGCTAAAGAGCAGCACAGATGGCTGTGGCTGGCTTTGTAGAACATACTGCACAGGCTGGTTGCTTCACCTCCACCCTTAGTTACTGCTTTTACCCTGCTGTTCCGTTGCTATAGAGTAAAAGCCTATCCTGGCATGTATTACTGAAGTGTGTTTTGTCTTTACTTCCCGTTTAGGGAAGTCAGAAGCAAACCTCACAAATAAGCATTGCAAGCTTGATTCATTCCCTCTTCTGGGATGACGGGAAGGCGTATTGAATTAATTCCTTGCAATGTCATGTTCTTTTTAATCACCTGCTGCCTCTGACTACCATTTTTTCACTCACCTTAGACTTCTCCTGATGAAGCTCAATTTGAATGTCTGTTAGCTTGGTCCTGAGATCTTCATTGGCAGCTTGTAAGGACATGATCAGTGCCTCAGGCTTTTCAGCCTTGCTGCGTCCTTTTTTTGACATGGCTGTTGGCTGTTGTGAGTCTGTGCGTGAGAATCCTTTTTCAAATGGGAACAGCCATTTTTTCTTTCTTTCCATTAAAGTTGTCTCAGAACCTACTGTGTGACATTCGTAAAGATAGCCCCATCAGCTCCTTGGGCAGTCCTGGGAAAAATAAGATGACACAGCATTAGTTAGCAAGTTTAGTGAAAGCTGGAGTCCGCTTAGCAACACTCAATATAAATGTTTTGTTTCGTTTTAAGGATTTAGAAAACTGCCCCAGGTCATATATGCCAACCATGAACCATAGAGTTCTTGGGAGGTATATATGACAATTTAAAATCCACAATGCAATATTAAAACAGCATAGAACAGTTAAACACAATACAGTACTGAGAGGAATAAAAACATTCAACCAGATAAAAATTAAATAATACCAGGCAAAAGACAATGTTTAAAACTACAAAAGGAAATAATAGAGAATTGGCTGAAGGCGTACCTTCCTCATTCCAAAGTCAGAGAAGCCCCTGTTATTTGTACATGGACACTATAATTCTCCTATTGATAGAACACGGAGAAGGGCCTCTGTGGCTACGTTGCAGAAGCTGATAGGAATAACCATAACACAGATTTCAGATTATGTTTTCCACTGGCATATACTACAAGGACATTAGGGGTAAAATGTATTTGTGGGCACTCTGGGTCAGATTCAACTAACCTGGTGCTCTAGTAGAAACCAGTGCAAAGACTCTGCTAGCACACCCTGGGTGTCCACCGCTTCTCCCCCACCACTTTGTCACTTACTTAATGACCTTGAGATTTCATTCCTCCCTTTCTGCTGTGCTTCATTTTATGTTCAGTTAATTCATGGATGCATTTAACCAATTAATGGCTTGGCTAGAGATTAAAACCAGATCTGTGATCAGCTAGAAACCAGCCATAGTTTGCTAGTATTTTTAGCCCCTATGCATTTTCCTCCTTGTCATCTTGGTTTCCAGGCATCTACCCACGTGGCTGAAGAAACCTTCCCAATGGTGCATGCATTAGATTGCAGAGAAGCCATACAGAAATGGGACAGGAGAAGAAAGGAGTAAACATCAGCTGCTTTTTTCCTGCCTTCTTGCTATGGTCTGCTTGTGTTTTTTCCATATATCTGCTGATCTTGCATAAGTTATTAATATTGTCCTGGAGTATTGCAGTTGTCAGGTTGCAACCTGGAGATGTGTTCTGGCCCTTTACATATTTAAGGGAGTCTAGGTTTCTGTTGCACAGTGCTCCCTTAATTTTTCTCTCCCCACCCCCCACCCCACACACAACCCTAGTGCTTGCAGCAAGCAGAACCCCAGGGGAAGGAGGAGGGCAAAGTAGTGAAGGAGACTATTCTGGAATAAACTCTGATTTGGAAATGGCACAGTGTATGGGGCCAGTCCAGGGACGCAGGTGGCGCTGTGGGTAAAACCTCAGCGCCTAGGGCTTGCCGATCGCATGGTCGGTGGTTCGAATCCCCGCGGCGGGGTGAGCTCCCGTCTTTCAGTCCCAGCTCCTGCCCACCTAGCAGTTCGAAAGCACCCCTATCTACTAAGTGCAAGTAGATAAATAGGTACCGCTTTATAGCGGGAAGGTAAACGGCGTTTCCGTGTGCTGCTCTGGTGCTGGCTCGCCAGAGCAGCTTTGTCACGCTGGCCACGTGACCCGGAAGTGTCTCCGGACAGCGCTGACCCCCGGCCTCTTAAGTGAGATGGGCACACAACCCTAGAGTCGGACACGACTGGCCCGTACGGGCAGGGGTACCTTTACCTTTACCTTTATGGGGCCAGTCCACTCACTGTTACATACCGTATGTTGCAATTCATCTAGGAAGGATTTAGATTGCATTACCAAGCATGGAGGTTGGAATATTAGGTCTGTAATAAATTGTTTGGAGAGGTGGGAAATCTGTGCTCTAAGAAGCAATTTCCCATTGGCCTGGGGACTCTTGTTCAAACAGGAATCTTAATTATATATACTGTATATATATTAAATGGGTTGTAGCACTTGTCAGTTGTAGTGGGGGAAAACCTGGAAAAATACTGGCAATGAATCCTGAAAGCTCAGAAACCAGAAGGCAAATCAAAAGACCCTTACGTTAGTCCTATTTTTGAACATTTGGGCTTGGCAATATCGGAGCTTTTTTTGTTTGTTTCAAAGACTGTTGGAAGACTCAGCTGGAGAGATAGGACTTGTCACAACTCCCATACTGTCAACCACCAACATTTCCAATTATGTTAATTAAATGTGCAAATTAGCAGTGGCCCATCCGTTCAGAATAAACTCCAGTGTTGATTCCGCGGCTGGAACATCCATGGTGTCTGAGGCATGAATACCAACACCAGCTGCTTGTACAGAAGTCTCACACTGGCCAGTCCAGTTATTTGCCAGCATTGTGCTTTATGTGATTAGACCAGTGGCAATTTATCACAAAAAACCACAATGCAAGCCAAGCCTGAAATTTCTGTAAGACTGCATATGCAGTGTATGTGTAATGTACATCCAGTTTAAGGAGGTGGGGTGGGAGAGAGATAATTTCTTTCTGGGTGTGCTTGTTTAAAGTAAAGAATTATAGCTAACACCTTTAGCTGTAGCACATAACTGCATTGTAGCAGCAGGAAGAAAGTGCTCTGGTGATGCCTTTCCTTACTGGCTGCAGGTTACCCCACAATTTGAACTCTCTCTTAATGCTGCAGATGGCACACATCACCAACTGCAGTCCTGCAGCATGAGCATTGCTCAGTGTGCTGGATGTGCTGTTTTAAGGTCAATCTACAATGAGAGAGCATTGGCCCATAAAAGATGGATGCTTTCGCTTCCGAAATAGGATACCTTTGGCTGTGTATGCCTAAAAGCATAAAGAACGACAGTTAAAAATATCATTACCACACAGATGGAATGTCTCAATTCTACCCACATAGCAGGGAGGGTGTGATGCGACCATGTTTAGCAGCTGCAGAAAGGCTCAGTTGTGTCGGTACACAGGAAAATATGAAAGAGAGGGAGAAGGGATCCATAATGAGGAAATGAGTTTTGGAGATGCCTTCAAAAAGGCTTGCTTATTCACTCTTGATTTATCAGATATCAAGTGCTGATTTCCCTCTCCTCTGCAGACAGACATATGTTACGCTTGGCATTTGTATTTGCTTACAGATGTATCCAGGCAGCTGTGACACACTGAACTAGTGAGATAACAGGCTTTAGCATAAATGCAGCGGGTAAGTTTGCTTACAATCCTTAGAATGCTGACTTGGCACTCTCAGCAGCTATTGGGACGTGCTGCTCAGTGCTCTAGAATTAATCATTCTAATCGGATTATGAATTAGATATACAAGAATCAAGCCTAGGACCAAAGACACACACACACCAAAATTCTACTGCACAGTATGGAACACAACAATAATGAACCTGAACAGTTTATACAAACACTAAAGTGGCTGGAGTGGTTGGCCTGTTGTTGTTTTCAGCGCAGTTACACGCAAGCATATCAAATAATCTAGATAACTGCTACAGACAGTAGCCACTGTTCTGAAGCAAGAGGTCACAGGAATCCACTGGTAACAAGACCATAATGTTCAGTGGATAATTAGGATGCAACCCCTCTGTGGCTTCAGGGGGATTTCACAGGGATGGTCCTCAGCAGGAGTAAGTTCCATAACTTAACAATGTTCTGCAGAAATAAGTACTTGCTCCGTATACAGTCCCAATCTCTAAAACCCATACCCTACAATATGTGGAAAACTAGGATGTGCAACTTCTGGTATGCACTCACATGCACGTTAAATGACTTGTGCAAGATTGCGCCTCGGACAATTTTGGGGCCATGGCACCCCAAAATTGGATGTCCCGATGCAGTCCATGCTCTAGCCATCTCTTATCCACACATACCTTTCCTCTGCTCTCTCCAGGTATGGTCCATGCTTTAAAGCTCCAAGTCTGACCACCACTGCTTTTTTCCTTTGTTTTGTCTGTGAAAACCTGCTCTTTAGCACTCACTCAGAGCAAATGTCAATCTGCTGAAAACCTGAACTGAGGTTTGTGCCAACTGAGTGCTAAAGAGCAGGTTTTTGTGAGGAAAGCTCAAGGAGGGAGGGGAAAGGTGCTCAGACAAGGAGCTTTCAAGTGTGGACCCGTGTCTGGAAAGAGTATAGCAAAATATAAATGTGGCTAAGGCCTCAATGCAGCAGGCACCAAGACTGCTGGTGGTATATATCCCCCCCCCCCCGCCTCTAATTGCTTAAGAATTCTTGATTAAGTCCCTGGTAGGAGCCATGTAAAAATGCTGTTACAGCGCAATTCTCTTCTAACACTTGTAGAAGCAGGAGCAGCAATATGTTTGCCACAACAGTTCAGCACAGATAAAGATTTATCGGAGATTAAATTCTGCTCCCATCCAATCTTGGAAAGCAGTTAAAACTATGAAGTGAGCGCACATTGCCGAAGATCCTGTGGCTAGACTGTCTGTCTGCAGCAGCACTTAAAAATGTACACCACAAAATATGAATCTGGTTAAAATTGACCTTGTCAGATCAAAGGCATCCCTTAAGAGAAGGCATGTGCTCTCCTACTGTTCAGCGTTTTACTGAATGATCATTGTTGTCACTGCCTTGTCACTCTTCTGTGAAACGAGAATGACATCAAACCCCTTCTTCGTAAAGGCGTTTGGGGCTGTTAATGCTGTGGTGCGCACACACAGTGCAATCCTGCACATGTTTACTGTGCTGAAAGCTGTGCATTTAGGATTGTAGTTTCAGTGGCACAGTCCCATGTCGGAAATGTCCCTGAATTAAGCAACCTTCACTGACAGGGGGCAGCTAGCTTGAAATATCCCTGACTCTCCCTGCTGCAGACATAGGCAGACAGAATCCTTTTAGGGACTAGGTAAGGCATCACATTTGGAATCAATAAGGAGAATGTTCTTCCCAGCTCTATTCTTTCTTATCCTCTTTATACGCTCCTATTTGGTTTTCATGCATGCAGGGAAGCTTTCCCACCAATGCAAATAGCAGGTGTTCTTGTGTGTGTGTGTAAGTGTGTAGATGCCTTTCTGGACTGGGGACAGAGCCAGTCAAAGAATTATATCCCTCTTCCAGCTCTTATCTGGAATAGTTCCCCTTTGCCTAAAATTTACTTAAAAA